CACCACAACAACCGATCGATCGATCGATCGAGAGCACTCACGTAATACGTCGCCTTCGCCGCGAGAATAATTTAGCTATAGCTGCAAGCATATATAACGATTCAATACAGCGACTCGCACCTAACCTAACCCCGCAACAACCACTAATCAAACACGGCAAGAAACCCCAGAAAAAATAAATAAATAAATAAACAAAAATAAAAAAGTTCAGATCAGCAGCATGTGATTTTTTTAACCATTTAATTTCTAAATTTTAAATTGAATATTCTCAAAACTTATTTACAATGCTGAACATTTTGTCACGCGTGGCGAAATAACACCGCTAGCTAATACTCTAACCCCTCGTGATGTGGCGCACCGTACGTGTTAGCAACAACTACGGGTGACATTGTGACGTTGTTTTAGCACGTCAGGCGGGATACCATGGTCTAAAGGTTCAGATTTAAAAGTAAATTTTAAAACAGCTTATTTTTAAAATAAAAAAATAAAATGGTTCAATAATAATAATAATAATAATAATAATAATAATAATAATAATAATAATAATAATAATAATAATAATAATAATAATAATAATAATAATAATAATAATAATTCGGATGAAGTAGTGAGCAATCAGCAGCTGCAGTACGTCGTAGCTAATTGGTGTGATGAGTGATGAGTGATCACTCTCGTCGATCGGAAGCTCCAGCTCCAATCATTCACGTTTTGATGATGCAAGATGAGTGGCCGGGCGGTCGCTGTCGGGGAAATTTAAGAAACGGGAGCCGTCGGCGAACTCGATCGATCGATCGAGGTGCCGTGTGCGTTGCAGCTGGCGGCGCTGCTGCCAACCAAGCTGGCAGGAGAGCGATCTCTGCTGCGTGGGTGATCGACGGCGACACGCACTGCCCTGTCTTCCTCCCTCGCCGTCGTCCGGTCCCGGCCTCTTCGTGGTCGTCGCCGTCCGACACAGCTAAGATTGCTTGTGACCTCCGACTTCCTTCTCGCCGGACTTTCATCTTCGCTTCACTTACTCCCTCCATTCCATCTCAAGTGTAATTATAAGTTTCCGTGCCTAACTTTAATCGTTCGCTTTAAATTTTTTTTATAATTAGTATTTTTATTGTTATGAGATGATAAAACATGAGTATGTCTAACTTTAATCATCCGTCTTATTTAATTTTTTTGTAATTATTATTTTTATTGTTACGAGATTATGTGATAGTTTATATGTGACTTATGTTTTTAATTAAAAAATTAAATAAGACGAAGATCAAAGTACTATGTTTTCAAATAATTGATTTTTTTTCTAAAATATAAGACACAACTATTTAACTTTAGATATGTTGTTTTATATATTTGACAGGAAACTGAGGAGAAATTTATCCCTTTTTTTCAGCAGTTTGGATACGAGTAAAGATTCACGGGTGGCGGGAGAAAAAAATCTCACGTGCAGGGGCTCGATCCCATGTACGACCTTACATCCACTGAGCTACTACATGTGTTGTGTGGTTTTATGAGTCTTACACCTAAAATATATTGTAATTACTTTCTAATTACACTATAATTATATTAATTAAGGTTGTACTGTAGTCACATTCGATAAATTTTAATTTTGAGATGATTTTTTTCAAAAGTTATATAACTAATCCCTACTACTGTATCTGTCTTATAATATAAGAAATTTTGGGTGGATATGACACATTCTAATACAATGAATCAGGATAAATTAGGATGTGTTATATCTACCCAAAATCCTTATATTATAGGACAAAGGGAGTATTTGACTTTTGACCTACAATTACACTTTAATGACGTGGTTTAAGTGTTTGTAAATTATTTGTAAGAGGACGAATGGTTAAAGTGTGAAAGTGAATGTCTCCTGTCAGTTATTTAAAAACAAATTGAAGGTAGTACCAATCTGCCTCGTCGTCTTGCACGCGGCCAAAGCTCATCGTCTTTTCAGACATTTACAGTCGACAGCTCCACTCTCCATGTCAATGATTTAGTCCAGAACCCAAATCAAAACTGCTGATAAGTTAATCATCATCTTCTTTTCTTTTTGTGCACTCAAACAAAGTTGTTCTAGCTTTGCTCTGAATTTTGGGCAACAATCACTCAATCAGTAGCAGTAGACCTGATTAAGGATAAGATGAGATCAACGACGTGAGTGCTTGGGCAAAGAGAGGGCAGCTTTAATTTGTGATCACAAGTGCGAGTTCGTTATGAATGTCTGTGTCTGTGTCCATGTGTGGTGGTGGTGCATTTTCAGAGAAGGGGATTCTTTATAGTTCGCTAATAACAATATATACAGGGATGCCTGTGGCTGATGGCTACTGTCACCACCAACATCTTGTTATTGTTCAGACTAAAGTGTTGGTTGCTAGCTCAGGTTTAGCTAGCTCCAAATACAAGTCTTCACTCATAATAATGGTGTTGCTGGTCCATGCTTGATCAACCATGCAAGTGTGGTGTTCTTTGAGTTGGGTGTTGTCCCATCAAAATCCTCTGTATATATATACTTCCATTTGATTCGTTTGTGCGGTTTAAGCACAGTGTTTAGCTTTGCTTTGCTTAGTTGATGCCCATGTCTGAATCACACTGAGAATATGCCCTCTTTGCTTAATGGACATGTATATGCCTGTTGCTGGTGATGTTGGTTAAGGCAATTCATTTCTTTTTTTTTCTAACCATGATTGATTATTCTGCTCTAATAAGATGAGAGATGCATGTGTGGTGTTGGCTTCCACTGTTTAGTGATCTCAGTTGCTAACCACCTATCACAATTGGCCAGCTGTTCACTCTAGCTCTTGGACAACAATGTCATTGTTGCAGTTACAACGGTGAAGGAGATATCCTCCAATTGGCAAGATAAAGATCAGAGATGGAACCAATAACCAACCTGCAGACAAAATTAACTGCAAGTTCTTCCAATTCTTCTTCTTCTTTTTTTATCCAAGCAAACACAGATTGTACCAATTTCATTGAATACTTCCAATTCTCTATCAACCACCATCATGGCAGAAGACTGCTAGTCTTGAAAGGCAGTTAGCTAGTTGTAGATGCAATCTATTGCAGGGAGATTGACAGATTATTGGAGCCCAAGTTTCGTCGAACCGGAGACGCAAGGAATAAAGGGCAAAGACACCGGTCAACCATGCATGAACGTAACCATGAGCACACACGCAACTTGTGCCTACATGCATTTTTCATGCCAGAATATATTAACACTATTTTTTATCCTATTTTTAATGATACTATAGTGGGACCAAGATGGTCCAACTGATTTGATATATTAAAAATAAATAAATAGACAGTTGTATACAGCATTGCATCTGAAATTCAAACTTAATATGACCTATTCTCACTTTAATTTTGCATATAGAAATTGTTAATACATTAAAAAAATAGAAGATATATTTCTTCCATCATAAATCCATATTAATTATATCTCTCACTTTAATTTACAGATAGAAATTGTTAGCATATTAAAAGATATAAAAAGCAATAACTGATACAGGGTTGCATCAGAAATTTCATATTATTTCTATCTCTTGCTTTTATTTGCAGATAGAAATATATATGTAGATGGCTAGCTAAAGGATTTATTTCATTATCTTATACTCCCTCCATTTTATAATGTAAGACTTCCTAGCATTACCCATATTCATATAGATATTAATGAATCTAGACACATGTATATACCTAGATTCATTAACATTTATATGAATATGGATAATACTAGAAAGTCTTACATTATGAAACGGAGGAAGTAGAAAAAAAGAAAGCTAAGATGCAAGGAGAATGCCGGTCCATCACGTTTGCCATCTAGGCAGCACACTCTACCAGAAGCCTGAATGCAAAGTATGCAGGCAACCTACCCATGCAGAGACAAATCAAACACCAAAAAGGTGGCAAGAGATTTCAAAGGGAGAGACAAATCCTTCTTGGCACGGGACTGATCATGGTTAGTGGCGGCAGCAGCATCAGCAGCCAGTGATTGGTACTCCGGATGGAGTACTAATTAATTAGCTGGCTAACACCAATATATTGCTTCTTTCTCAATCATTTTTCTTCGGTTTAAGTCTCTCTTTTTCTCTCTCTCTCTGGTGCTGATTGCAAAGCCACTCACACGCACCACCCATAATGTAATGCCCACCCGAAAGTCCCCACAAAATCACATGGAAGTCGCCTCTTCCCAATCACAAAGCATGAACAAAAAAAGGAGATTGTTCCACAGCTCACAAAATCAGCTAACCCCCCTTATTCCTGCCTCCCTCCCTCCAGTAACCAACCACCTGTACCGGGCGCGAAAGGACGAATGGTCTCTCGCGCTCGGTTAGTTCGTTCGATGGTGTACAATGGACTGTCCAGATCATCTTAAGACGGCATTTGTATTGTCCTAAGTCGAACAAATGGTATACTCCCTTGGTCTATCTTGACCACAACTCCATACCATATGCATACATGCCTTGAAACTGTGGTTCGCTATCCTGATATCAGATAAAAATCGCTCACGAGCAGTATCTTCGGATTTTGTAGAAACCATTGATAAACCAAAAGAAAACCGATGAAATCCGAACAAATCTGGAAAAAAATTAATAATCCATTTTTATTTTAATTTTTTAACTTCACACAAAAACCCGAGCGGTTTATGTTTTAGACATGGTCCGAAAAAACCAGATTTCACGAAATCAGAACCGGTTTTCTCCCGGGATAATAAACCCCTGCTGGGAACAAATATCCATATCGTCGCAAACCGACCGACGTATCGGACGATCTCGACCGTCCGATACCGATCGGGCGGTGCATGGTAGAGGACCCGGATCCGGGAGGAACAGTGCTTGCCGAATACCGACGGCACGAAAAGGTAAAGTGCACACATGATAGTGCATTACATTGCTACTACTACATGATATGCATTACATTACACCTGTCCCCAGATGCGCCAGGCAGACGGGCCTCACGCCTCCTCACGGGCTCACGCGGTCACGCCTATAAAACGCGCCACCCCTGCCCTTTCCACGCATCATCACATCATCCACTGCTCTGCTTCTCCTCTTCTTTTCTTGGCTTGTGCTCTGTTTTAATTTCTTTGCAATGATGGGGAGGCAGAGCTCGTCGGCGGCGAGGAGGGTGGTGGTGGTGGTGTGCGCGGCGATGGTGGTGGCGGCGGCGGCGGCGCAGAAGTACAATGCGGTGTACAACTTCGGGGACTCGATCACGGACACCGGCAACCTGTGCACCAATGGCAGGCCGTCGCAGATCACCTTCACCCAGCCTCCCTACGGCGAGACCTACTTCGGCTCCCCTACCTGCCGCTGCTGCGACGGCCGCGTCGTCGTCGACTTCCTCGGTAACTTTGATTCTTTCTTTGATTCCTTCGTCTTCTTGGTTTGCTTGCTCCGGCGAGCTGACGGCGGCGGCTGGTGGTTGTTGCAGCGAGTAAGTTCGGGCTGCCGTTCCTGCCGCCGTCGAAGTCGACGAGCGCCGACTTCAAGAAGGGAGCGAACATGGCGATCACCGGAGCCACCGCCATGGACGCCAACTTCTTCCGCTCCCTCGGCCTCTCCGACAAGATCTGGAACAACGGCCCCATCAGCTTTCAAATCCAGTGGTTCCAGCAAATCTCCTCCTCCGTCTGCGGCCAGAGTAATAATCACTCACTCACTGTTCTTCCCACCACACAATTTCAAAATCTCTGACAAGAATTCAATTCGATTCGATTCGATTAAATTTCAGATTGCAAGAGCTACCTGGCGAACTCGCTGTTCGTGTTCGGGGAGTTCGGCGGCAACGACTACAATGCGATGCTGTTCGGAGGGTACAGCGCGGACCAGGCGAGCACGTACACGTCGCAGATCGTGGACACCATCTCCAACGGCGTCGAGAAGCTCATCGCCATGGGCGCCGTCGACGTCGTCGTCCCCGGCGTGCTCCCCATCGGCTGCTTCCCCATCTACCTCACCATCTACGGCACCTCCTCCAGCTCCGACTACGACAGCCTCGGCTGCCTCAAGAAGTTCAACGACCTCTCCACCAACCACAACAATCAGCTCAAGACCAAGATCTCCGCGCTCCAATCCAAGTACAAGTCCGCCCGCATCATGTACGCCGACTTCTACTCCGGCGTCTACGACATGGTCCGCAACCCCGGCAACTACGGTACGCACACCACTCCGCTTACACTGTTACACAAAAATAACTAATTCTACGGCCCTGTCTAGTTCCAAAGTTTTTTTCTAAACTTCCAACTTTCCATCACATCAAACATTTCATACACACATAATTTTTCTATCACATCGTATCAATTTTAACCAAAACTTCTAAACTTCAGTGTGAACTAAACACAGTCTACGTATATATTGCCCGTACGTTGCAACGTGATTTGGATTTTTTTTAAAAAAATTTGTGCACGAGGGAGACAGGGGGCCATGTGAGCCGTAGCAAGATTCCTCAGTTTTGTGCCAGTGAATGAGCAGTTTGCTTAAGTAGGGTAGTAGTGTCCGACATGGGCAATCCGAGCTCGTGATTGCCATTTTATATGGGGGGAACAGTAGTCGTCTTGCTCCAACGACTAGCTAGACACCCAAATTATGCCAGATTAATGGCAGATACGCCCGGTTAGGTGTGTGGACTTATGTTTGTACCTACGAATCCAACTGCACGCACGTTCCTCCGTTCCCTCACCGGAACTCACCCCATGTTCCCCCAACTAAACACACATGTGAGACAGTGTCAAACGACTACCCCCGAGCAGTGGCGTTTTGGCAGTGTGCATCCTACTCCTTTCGTTCTGAAATATAAGAGATTTTAAACGGACGTCTAAATTCGTAGCACTAAAAAGAGTCACATCCATTCAAAATCGTTTATGTTTTATGACGGATGGAGTAGATGATACAGAGACCAAAGATGATTAAACTGATGAGCTATATATATTTTTTGACATGTAGGATTTAGCACGGTGTTCGAGACGTGCTGCGGGTCAGGCGGCGGCAAGTTCAACTACAACAACAACGCGAGGTGTGGGATGTCAGGCGCATCAGCGTGCTCCAACCCGGCGTCGCATCTTAGCTGGGACGGCATCCACCTCACCGAGGCAGCTTACAAGCAGATCACTGACGGCTGGCTCAACGGCCCGTACTGTAGCCCGGCCATCCTCCACAGCTAAGGCAAAATGACTGGAAAGAACGAGCCATTAGTTAATTTATTACTTTATTATTAAGGCTGGTGTTTATTAATTAAGCGGGAATTAATTAAAGGGGAATTGTTTGGGTTCTTGATTTTTATTTGGGTGGCATATATGGTGGGTGGTGTGACGGTGAAATGGTTTACTTGCGTTGCCAAAAAAGCAAAGAAAGCGATGGCATCTGTAGAATAAATGTTGGTTACTGTTGTAATTTGATAATTGTTTCTCTTCCAGAATCAAATGAATCATCAATGGTATTATACTCAGTTATTTTTTTTCTTTTGCTTTTTAGAAAGAGACTTTTTTGCCATGGCAGCTTATGTTTGGATCTTTTGCCTGGCCAGGGGCATGTGGTCTGTGCTTTAGGAAAAGCAACTGCAGAAAATTCACTCTGATGGTCATCCTGTCTGAGACGGTCTTGTCATTATTAGTCAGAGACTCTGAAAGTGAAAGTGACAGTGTTTTCTTCTCATTGCAAACTTTTAGCTAACTAACCACTAGGTTGATGAACAAATTGGACACTCCTACTGGGGAAGGAAAACCTGAGCAAATTTATCCAAGGATAGATAGATATGCAGCATATGCTCCAAGTACAATAATGCAAAAGGAAAGCAAGCTACTCTTGCATAGTGATGCACTCGCTCTCCTACTGCTGAATCTAGCTAGTTGCATCAAATCGACTTGAATACATGAGATGGAGTAATATGCAGGGCATGTGGGTGACGCAAGTGGGATGGCCTGAATTATTCGTAGCTGTTGGAATTAAATCCAACGGCGACCCATCCTTGGAAGGAGGAGACGAATCTTCGTATTTGATTGCCTAACACATCTATTGATTATGATAGTGATGCACATTTGCAAACTAGGACAGGGCACACAAGCAAGTACAAGCATGAAGCATCAATCAGAGCGGCTGATTTATACTTACATAAACGCAGTAAACAAAAAAAAGAAATAAAAACATGGCATGCGTAGGATTGAAACACAGAACCAAGCCTACCATAGAGGTTGAAGGATGTTACGTATAGCGAAGGTTAAAAAAATATATTCAAAAGTACGAAGCATAGAAACTGTGTGTTAATTTGTGATGCATTCTACTACTATACAACAAAACTGCTTCACAAGGGCACATGATGAGCATTCCTGGCAAGAATATACTACCAAGTTCTGAAGTCATAAGCAAATGAGAATGTGACAAGAATGTGGAACAAGAGCTCTGTGATCCCGTGTATCTGACGCCTGAAATCGGCGGTGTTGGCTGCCTGGACGGCGCGCCCCAGGCAATGATTGTGCCTGGTGAAGTCAGTGAATGCTCGGGCAATCCATTCGAGGCGTCAGTGGTCAACCATTCTGTCATCATGTTGCCTGGACTGTAGTCCGTGTAGGGACGATAATTTATCGGTCGTCAGATTCAGACACCGCAGATGGACCACCTGTACATTCCTTCCTTCGATGAAGCTCCAGCATCTTTACCTCCGGGTGGCATAGCCCTGGATGATGATAGATTTGGGAACATGTTAGCATGCGTCAGCTAGACTGAAAGATCTTAGGCATTAGTGTCCTTGAGAAAAACAATGCTTTGCAAGTTTCAGAACCAGCTTCTGCACAAGCACATCCCTCACTTTTATTCATCTTCCTAACAAGAGTTTGGTTTTTTAGTACTATGCAATACTTGTGCAGGTTAATGTTAACTTTATTGATTCTCAGCTTCACAGACCTATATGGGCTACGGCCTTTGTGATGTTGAAGTTGATCAAAAGGAAAGTGTGATGTGATAATACTTTAAGGGCCACGCAAATATATAGATAAGGAAAAAAGATAATTCACCAAGCACTTCCACTTCAAATGACATCAATATAAGAGTCAAGAAAGTAAATAACCTGAACATTTTGGAATATCCCAAACAGCAATTGAAGACTCTGTGCACTCAGGTGAACAAAGTGCATGTGTGTTCTCATGGTTGACGTTCATAGCAAGCATCCAGGATCCAATAGTAACATCCTCATTGCTGAACATACGGAAACTGGAGAAACATATGTGAGAATCCATTAAACAAACATATAACGTGACTCGATCGTGGATGAAGTTTAACAGTGATGCAAAATGAAAAACATGAATGCAACAACAGTCTTATGTACGAAACTTCTACTGCTGAAGCCCATGACATAACCATGTAGTATGTTTACTTTAGGCTCCAGGGCTTCTGAGTTTAATATATCGTGAGCAATTAATCAATAACCACACACTATTTCCCTTCGCTCTTAATTTGTTGAGCCAGAAAAGGGAAAGTTTTGCTGAAAAGAAACACCACTTCTTTTACATGAGAGGGCTAAAACTACCAAGAATAGCTCAGAATTGTGGGAACAAGGCTAATATGAAAGCCAGTAAGACAGCAGTAACAGTCAATACAACTTCTTTACAGAAGTATATGGATTTGCAGTGCAGTAGTGTTGCTCATGTTAGTCATACAGTGAGCGGTGGCCTCACCATCACTGGCCATCAAAGCAGGGAAACCATAGACCCAAACCAACATTGAATACTATTTCATAGGCTAACTGGTTTGAGAAGGCAAGTTGAAGAATGCTGCTTCACAATAAGATAGGATGAGTACTGTTAATTACCTGTTGTTCCTCAAGGCAACCAAGCTTGCCACCACATCGGCTGATAAAGCGTAAATAGGCCCATATGCATGAAGGAAGTATTCTGATCCGAGCAAAAAGGATTGTGGCTCATACCTGCATTTGGAAAAAGAGCAGAAACAATATGATAAGCAGTCATTGATGAATGGTACATGGAATATTTTTGCTGTGTGGAACAATAGAAAGTCTGAAGTCCAAACAGCATGTGGTATACTCAGCATATATGCCCTCACACCATTTGCCACAGCAACATGCCTTGGTTATAGAATTCTGTCTATACTACCCTAAAAGCTAAGCTAACAACTGTCTTAAAACTATAATAGCAAAGAGGAAACTGAAAATCACGTTGGAGGGAATAGACTCACAAACTGAACACTTTGTGCTTGCACCAACTTGTAGGATCACAAGAGTGCTTGCACAGCTAAGCTAGCAATATTTTAAGCACAGATTCAAAAATGACAGCTGCACTGGTGAATTGGAGGGTGGAGCGTGTGACAAAATACAAAACTGATGAAGGATATATATGATTTTCTTTGATCCTCGAATAATACTGATAAGATGTTGAACCTGACAAAAGTCGTTAGGATTCAGGAATCCTTTATACTTACATAGTTCATCCCCACTAAGTGTAGTTAATGCTATTTCTCTCCTCTCATTAAGCCACATCACCCCAATTATTTCTAGCCTTTGGATGATAGATCTATAATCCAAATTGTCTCTTCTTTCTTCTCTCTTAAAAACATGCAATCTCAATTATTTTTAGGCTCAAAATTGTATCAAATTGTTTTAGTTTTGATAATCAAATTACATCTTATTTGTACATATTATGCAACTTAATTTTCCGCAGCAACGCGACGGAGTATTCATCTAGTTTGGGATACATGCGCATTAACATCTGAAAAACAATCAAGTAAACACGTTCCTTGCTAATCCTTTCCTTCGCCTTCCAACCCTACAGATCAAGTGCTTGCTTTACACACCATATCTAGTGTGGTCTGTGCTTAACTTTATGAGAAACCATCCGGATATTGAGGTACCAGCAGTTCTGGTTTTGTACAATATAACATACTCCCTCCGTTTCACAATGTAAGTCATTCTAGCATATTCCGCATTCATATTGATGTTAATGAATATAGACATCTATATCTATCTAGATTCATTAACATCAATATGAATATAGGAAATGCTAGAATGACTTACATTGTGAAACGGAGGAAGTAAACACGTAATTACGAATCTGAAACTGAGTTATTTTCAGTTCATATTTATACAGTGATGAAATATTTTTTGACACCATAAAATTATTAACTTTTTTGTGGAGGTGTGAGGGTCGCATCTGGACGAAAAAATTTCTTTATTATCTAATTTACATTTGCTTAGCATGAGCCACGATGCTGTATGCATTTCTTCATAGAGTTAAACTTTCTCAATAAAAAAAACAATATGGCATAAAAGGGGTTCATTATGTCATACAAGACTAAATAACAGAACTGACCATTTCAGCTTTGGGTCAGTAAAAACAGGCCCCTTCTTCATGCATCCAATGTATGTTTGTGTATGTGAACGCTCCTTAGCCAAAAGCAATGAAAGTCTATCTGCAGAATAGATATCAGTAATGAAAGTGCCAGCCATTAAAAAAAATATGATATCCAAGTCAAAATCTGTAAGAGGATATGTAGGGCATTGGTATGCACCTGGTCTCAAGTAGATATCATCATCAGCTTTAACATAGAAGTCAGAGTCATACAATGCATACGCAGCCTTAAAGTAAGCTAACCTACAACATAAGAATAAATCAGCATCTTTCTGAAGAAATAACAAAAGCATATGATAATAGTTCTGCTATTTACGTTTTGTACGGAAGCTTGCTATACTCCTCCTCCAGATCTAAAAGCACGAAATCATCGTATTCTTGAACCTCTCTTTCTAAAGCTGCCATCTTAGACTTGTCATTACTTTTTCCAATCACAAATCTGAATGCCAGACCAGTTGCTTCCTCCAATCTGTAATACAGTGAACACAAAAATACAACTATTGTAATGGCAGTTAGCCAAAATCACCATTAACGGAAACTGAAATACAGAAACAGAGATGGTGATGATCATCTCTTTATTAAGAATGGTTGGACTTTTGGACAACAAAAGTCCACTTAGGCTGAAACCGAAGCAAAACAGTTAATGGCTGCTCATCTACTAGGCAGCATGGAGCTGGTTTCAGCTGGCAGGCCGCTTTAGTCAAAGTTTATTGAACCTACGAATTAAATATATTCCGGAACCTCCATGTGCATTTTCATGTACATTGTAGACTTATAGTTGGATCTCACGACATAAGTACTAGAGAAAAAAAAAACTAACAAATCCACATGATCAATCCCTTCTTCAAGAATAGCAGCATAATTCTTCCTCGAAAACAATGAGAACAGATGGAATGAATTAAGAGCAGGTACAATAGCAGGCTATAAGCTAGCTGTAAACATATTTTAAAGAGATAAAGGAAGAGAGAGAAGAGCAGCGGGCTACAGATTTGTAGCCAGCTACAGCACGGACTCCAGGACATAATGTGTGTATGGTAGGTGGGACATTGATAGTATAGTAAGCAACTATTGTATGAATTGGCTATTAGATTGGCTATAGATGAATTAGAGCTAGCAATGGGCCATACCAATAAGCAGATCTCACTAAAGCAAATACAACCTTATAGTGATGAGTGATCTCTATCTCATGTTTATTTGACAACGAACCGTAAAATTACATCTAAGATCATAGAAATGAACAAATTAGATTACCTACGTACTAAAATCTAATCAGTAACTATTTCCGCTCCACTCCCGTAATTAGGTAACCAGCAACATCAACAGTTGAACACCTAAAACTAAAGCCAGATCTCGAGCAACACAAGCAGACACGAACTAGCAAACTGTGATACCAGCGACTAACCGAAGGAGACCCTGCCGATCCGCGGGGAGCCACGTCCGCCGCAGCGCGCGTCGCCGCCCGACGGAGCCGAACCCGGTGAAGATCCCGACGAAGGCCATCACCTTGTGCCTCCCGCGCGACCCGGTGGCGTGCGACGCCGGGAGATCCACGGCGGCGCCCGCCGCCGCCACGGCCCCGGCGGACGCATCCCCGGGCCGGCGGTCCCACGCGACGGAGACGGAGAGCGGGCGGGAGGAGTCCGGGCAGCGGGCGCGCGGCGCGCTCCCCGGCGACCAGGAGAAGGAGAGCGCGGCGGCGAGGAAGCCCGCGAGGCCGAAGAGGAGGCAGGCGGCGGAGAAGGCCGGGGTGGAGAGGATGCGGCGGAGCGTGGCGCGGCGGGAGGTGGTCGCCGAGGAGAAGACCTTCGGCGAGCTCGGCATGGCTTCGGCGAACTCGCCGCCGCGCCGCCGCGTGGGTTGACGGCGAGGCGCGCCGGATCGGAGCCGGGGGGAGACGAGGAGGGGGAAGGGGTGGTGGTGGACGCTGGGTGCGGCCGCGTTTGCTGCTTCTCCTCCTTTTTGTTTTGAGTTGGTAGAGAGAGAGAGAGGGGCTGTGTTGAGCCCAACTGGTAGCCCACTAAGATTCAGCCCAAGATGATTTCACCGGCAAATTTTGGAGGGCTGTAATTCGAAATGGGCCTAGAATTTCGTTCGAATTTTATTTGAAACTGGAATTGTACGTGATCCTTCTGTTGCGTATTATAAAACGTTTTCGTTTTGTTCTCAATCAAGTTTAATCAATGTAGCAACAAGTTCAAAAAAAAATGTAGCAACTCTTGTAGTACAAAACAGATATATCTCTACTATTATAAAAATTAAAGTTGTTTTTGCGGTATTTTGGTACGTCGTTCGTATTTGAGCTGATTTTAAATTCGTTCGCTTTTGAAAATACAAATTCGTATTTTAGTCGGATTTTAAGTTCGTTTCCTTTTGAAAATACAAAAGAAGTCATATAAGAAATCCCTTTTAAAAAACTTGCATGCTAACTTGAGATGAATGTTGAACTCCTAATTGCAGCTCATGATTTTCTAGAAAAAAAATATCTAAGCGAATTCCCACAGTGGATTTCACCCTAGCCAAACCGTATAACAATAATAAAAAAATTATAATAGCATTCACCCGTTACAACACACGGGCATCTTTTCAAGTTATAAATATATATATTATTCGGTCGTAGATTTAATGAAAGTAATCTGGTGTTCTATATGTTAATATATTTTTTTTTGAAAATCTTTGGTTTAATAACTTGAATAAATTTGGCTTGGGATAGGAACGAAGGGAGTATATAATTATTTTTTCTAGTTGCACACATACAACTATTATCTTCTTTTTTTCCGTTTACATCAAATGCGTACTCAAGTGCTTCTCCTAATACACGTTCAGGGAACCGGAGATGAACAACAAATCCCAACAAACTGAATTTTATTCAAATCCACAGCGATTACAATGGTAAAACCAAGTTACAACACAATAATTACTGTATTCGAGCCAGAGAAAATTGTCCGACAAATCAATTGCAGCACGGTTACATCTCTGCTAGCTCTTCTGCCGCCGTCAGCTAAGTTAGCTTAGCTGCGGCGCTTGGTCTTGCGGTGGTGGTGGTGGTGGTCGTCGTCGTCGTCGTCGCCGGCGGCGGCGGCGGCTTTGGCGAGCTCGCACTGGTCGATCCACTCGCTGTAGACGTCGATGGGCTCGGTGAGCGCGTGGGCGGTGGTGGAGTAGCGCGCCTGGCAGACGAAGCAGGAGGCCTCGGCGATCATGTGCTTGATGTCGATGCTGCACTCCACCGCGCCGCCGTGGTCGCAGAACGGGCAGCTGAACGCCGTCTCCAGCTTCGGCGCCGCCTTCTTCGCCGTCGCCAGCATCTTCGACACCCGAGACTTCCTCTTCCCCATCTCCGACTCCGACGCCGACGATGCCCTTGCTTTCTTGCTTCTGCTCCCGGCGGCGAATCGATCGGCGAATGCGAAACGATTGATCGAGAGAGAGATGCATCGTCGAGGCGGCGCCGCGCGTGCTTATATCGGGAGCTCTTCCCAGTTCGCGTCGGACTCGGACTCGGACTCGGACTCCTTCACGAACACGGCCCGCATTAAGCAAATTAAGTGTCCAATTAGTACGGACTAATTAAAATCATTTCTTCCATATCGATTTTGCAAATTTGCAGTTCGTTCTGCGGCTACACTTGACTTGGATCAAGAGATGATGATTAATTGATTGATTATTAATTAAGCCTAGTGTTTTCTTGGTTTGGTTCATGCATCCATCCATGGCGGCGGCAGGTGGTGCAGTTGATCGATGGTTCTAGTGGTGCAGGATGGGAGGGTGGCAGTAGGGTCCCCTGAGCCAGCCGCCGGCGACGAGCCGGTTCGCCGCCTCCGTCGTGTGGACGCCGTCCCAGCACACGTGCCTCGACGGGTCACGGCACGCCGCCGCGCCCTTCATCCCGCACCGCGCCTCGAACTCGTAGTTGTACTCCCCGCCGCCGGCGCCGCAGCACGCCGTCATCCCGCTCCTGAACCCTGCGCCGCCGCCGCCGCCGCCATTGCCACCCCCATCACATCAGATCACAACCACCAACTCAAACCAAACATGCCTCTCCAAGATCGATTAATCGTTACCGAAGCGCGCCGGCGTGTGCAGCATCTGGGCGACCATGGTGTAGTAGTCGGCGTACATGATCCTCACCGGCGCCGGCGCCGCCGCCGCCGCCGACCTGTACCTGGCCTGGAGTCCGGCGAGCCTCGCCTGCAGCAGCGCGTTGTGGTGGATGGCCAGATCGTTGAGCGGCCGGAGGCATCCGTGCTCGTCGTAGTCCGACTCGTTGCTGCTCCGGAGCATGGTCAGGTAGAGCGGGAAGCACCCCACCGGCATCACCCCCGGCACCACGATCTCCGCCGCGCCCATCGCAATCAGCTTCTGCAAACGATTGCAATCGCGCGCGAAAGATCAGATCGACCAAGAAAGTGAACAACATTTTCTGGATGATTCATTGGTTGGTTGGTTGATTGCCTCGACGCCGGTGATGATGGTGTCGACGATCTTGGGCGTGTAATTCCTGGCCTGATCGACGGTGAAGCCGAAGAACAGCATGGCGTTGTAGTCGTTGCCGCCGAGCGAGCCGAACAGGAAGAGTGACTTGGACAAGTAGGCTCTGCAACCTGATGAACACTTAGAGTAATTAGCTCGTGAGCGATTGATTAGCTGAAGAAAAAATGGGAGTAATTCGATCGATTTGAATTTTGATTCAGATTTAGAATTTGATTTTTACCCTGTGGTTGTGTGGCGCAGATGGAGGGGAGAAGATGGTGGAACCACTGGAGCTGGACGTTCATGGCGCCGTTGTTCCAGATCGGGTAGCCGAGGCCGATGGACTTGAGGAAGTCGAAGTCGAGGGCGGTGGCGCCGACGATGGCCATGTTGGCGCCTCGCCGGAAGTCGCCGCCGCCGGCGCTCCGCTTCGACGGCGGCAGCAGCGGCAACCCCAGCTCCTGCGCTGCATTGGCAATGCAGGCGAATCTTGGCATCAATCAGCAATGGCGGCGGTGGCGACGGCGGCGGATGCGTGTGCTTACCGAGGAAGTCGACGACGAGGCGGCCGTCGGAGCAGCGGCAGGTGGGGTGGCCGAAGTAGGTCATCCCGTACGGCGGCTGCGCGAACGTCAGCAGCAGCGTCGCCGCCGCCGACTTGTTCACGCAGATGTTCCCCGTGTCCGCCAGCGAGTCCCCGAACACGAACATGGCGTTGTACTTGCACCTCATCCCACCATCGCCGCCGCCGCCGCCGACGCCACCGGCCAACGCCGGCTGCACGGCGCACCAGCAGAGGCAGCAAACCACCAGCACGCTGCCGACGACGTCGACGGCGGCGGCGGCAAGCGCGCCTCCTCGCCGCGCCATCACTCGCAACGCCACAGCTCAGTGACGACGCGAGACAGTGGCATACTTACATTATATACACTTGGTCTTGGTTGGTTTAATGAGCAGTGACGTCACCTCGCCGCCATTGTTGCTGTGCTTTTGTACACACGTACACGTCTGATATCTCGTCGTCATCGTTGGGCTAAGGCTAAGCTGCGCAACGTTTGCATGTTGCAACCGATAGACCGGGCTGGGCCGGCACGACAAGGCCCATGGGCCTTACTGGGCTATCTCGGCCGGAAAGTGTTCTGCCGTAAAGTAAGTTCACTTTGACTCCCTTAACTAGAGGCTTAATCTAATTCGTATCCCTAAACCACAATACCGGGATATCTCGACTCCCTAATTACTAAAAGAGAAAGACTACACAACGGTATACCGTTGAATGGTATACCGCTTATCCCCCATGACGCGGCCCCGCGTGCCGGCTTCTCCCGAGTATGTCGCGTGCTGCTAGGATTATCATCACGCATGTTTGCTATGTGTATCAGTGTATAGTCTTGTTCCTGACAGCTAGCTAATACCCAGCATGCCTGTCCTGCCTTTGATACTAGCCTAGCTATTAAATAAAACCGAAAGTACTACTAGCTTGCTGTGCATGTCAAATCCCTGTAATAGCTACTAGTAGTCCCGTACCCTAGCCATGTAGGGTACTTATTATGGCAGAGCCTAGTAGCCTAGCTATGTGTTTAAGATGGGTTGCATCTATTTGCATGTGTCCTATACCATGCATGGATTAGACCAGACAAATAATTACCTAAATTATATATGGATACAATGTATTCTAATTAGATATGTCATGTTGGGCTCTTGGTTATACCACATCTTAGAAACTCTAGTATGTGATATATAGATGCTAGATTATCATATCTGATATCCAAGTACTGGGTCGAATACCTAGGTACCAAGTATGAAACCTATAAATACAAGATCTGATGCCGAGTTATCGGGTCTGATACCTATAAGTACCGGATCCGATAACTAGGTATCGCGTCTGATACCTATGAGTACCAGATCGGATACTCGGGAATCGGGTATCTGATCTGATACCTATGAGTATTTGTTCTAATACCTATGCGTAACGGGTCGAATACCCAGGTACCGAGTATGATACTTATGAATACCAAGTCTGATACCTAAGTATCGGGTTTGATACCTATGAGTACCGGATTCGATACCTAGGTCAGGTTTGATACCTATGAGTACCAGATCCGGTATCTCGTATGATACCTATGAGTATCGGATCGGATACCTGGGTATCGGGTATCTGATCTGATACCTATGAGTATCAATTCTGATACCTGTACGTACTAGGTCGGATACCTAGGTACCGAGTATGATACCTATGAATACCAAGTCTAATACCTAAGTATTGGGTTTGATACCTATAAGTACCGGATTCGATACCTAGGTCGGGTTTGATACCTATGAGTACCGGATCCAATACCTATATACCAGGTTAATACATATTAGTAGCGGATCTGATACCAAATATAGGGTGTGATGGTAGGAGACTTCAGACGTGATACCACTAATTCTGATATTTATGGGTTATATACTTCTATTCAACCATCAAATAAAAAGATGGACCATGCATAGCTAGGCCAGAAAGTACAGCCAAACTTGCTCATGTGCCGCTGAGTGCTTAATTCTAACTTGCTGACATGCTTTGTTTAGGCTCATGCTACTAGCTCTAGTGCTTAATTCTAACTTTGCTAGTTGAAGCAGGTGTGAGACCCATATGGACCTAAAGAGGTGTAGAAGTAGTGTTGTATTAGAGTATTTCATAGCTATTTTGTACTGTAGGAGAAAAGAGACCTCTCGTCAGTCGTCACTAGTCAGCAGCCTCCATGTGAAAGGACAGCACACGACATGCTTTCAGAGAGAAAGAATCGATGAGTGATTGGTAAGTATAAATTATAAACTATACCGTTGAGACGGTACACCATCCCATAGTTTTTCTCTTATTAAAACCGGTACAATTTAACTCGGTGGTTTTCAAGAGCGGTTTCGTTGATGTGGCGTCTACATGACGGTATTAATCTGGCATGTGGCATTGACTTTATGCCATGTCAATGCCACAGACCAGGTCAACAGTGCCACGTGGACGTCACGTTAATGAAAGCATCCTCCAAAATTATCGAGGGAGTTAAATTACACCGATATTAATAGTTATGAGTCGAGATATCTAGTATTGTGGTTTAAGCACTGGTTTAAGAGTTTAAGAGAGTCAAAGTAAACTTATTCCTTCTGCCGTTGTTGTCACGTACAGCCGTACAGGAGAGAGGAAATTCGGATGGTTATTGGTGGCTCATCTGGGTACACACTACACAGTATTCAATGGCGATTCAGAGTACTACACGGCATTGCATCATTCAATCATATGCAACCTGGTAGATCGATCAGGGAGAAGGCACCGCATTTGGAATCTATATCTTTACTCTTCATAAAGAAACTGATTTTAAGCCAAACTTTACTCTTTAGCATGTAACAGTAGTAGTAAGTACAGGCTTAAAGATGCTTAATTTTGTTCTTGCAGAAGAGTTTGTTAGCCTTGGACAGTAAGGTGGAGAAGCCAAAATAAAAAAAAAAAACAGACAGAACCAAAAGGGATCCTGCATTATTTTGGTTTGGTATCTAAAACTGGGGTGCATGCATCATATTCAGACTTAAAGTTTGGCCAAACTTCTTTAATAAAGAAACTGTTTTTTTTTTCCCTGTAAATAAACTCCAAAGCAACATGCACAGTCACTCACTCTGTGTAGCATAGTTTCTGTACCAGAAAAGGAGGTGAAGCATTCATTCACTAGTTCCATACAAGCATGTGGTCATGCGATCCAGGATTCCTAACTTGTATTAAAGTTTTTTTCTTTCTTTTTTTGAGATGGCAGCAAACCAAGTTGATGAGCTTAGATAAGATCTTGCTCGCATTTATGATTTCATCCGGATCCAGCATGTGCGTATGTGACCATCTCCAACCAAACCATGCAACAAATTACTAAGATTTAATTAATTAATTGCAACACATAATTAAATTGCCTCCCAATCTCATACATACTACACAAATGTGCATTACCTAAAACAAAAACAAATTAACCACCCACAACGAAAATCAACTAATCACCATCTTATTCATTTCCCAGTCGATCGCAAGATGTCTTCTTCTTCCTCTTGCTATCCATTTTTCTTCTCTTCTTCTGCTAAACAAATCAAATCAGCAGCAGCTAGCCGGCCATCCTCCGGCCGCCGTCGCCGCCGCCGGCGATGATCTAGGGCATGATCGGCGGGTGGCAGTAGGGCCCGTTGACCCACCCGTCGGCGATCTGCTTGTACGCCGCCTCCGTGAGATGGATGCCGTCCCAGCTCAACGACGACGACGGGTTGGAGCACGCGTAGGCTCCCGACATGCCGCACCTCGCGCCGTTCTGGTAGTTGTACTTCCCTCCTCCCGCCCCGCAGCACGCCCTCAAATTCGTGCTAAACCCTGCGCAAATTCATCACAAAAAACCGTCGAATTAATCATTCATAAACTTCAAACCATCCAAGAAAATCCGCTACTATCGCTTTACCGTTCCAGCAGAATAGCTCATGCGAGCATGGATTCAGCACGATATCATAGGTAGCAGACCTGGTACCCGTGGTACCAGATAGGTACCAAGCACGATATCACGCTAACGTCATAATTCGTACCAGAAATACTACAAAACGATATACCGTTCTAATGGATTAGCTGACATCATGATGACGTTAACACGATATCTAGGTACTAGATCCGTACCTACGATACCATGCTAATGTCGTGTTGATGTCAGCTATTCCATTACAAAAGTATATTGTTCTGTAGTCTCCTTCAATTGGTACGTAGGTGTCATGCTGATATGGGCTATTCCGTTGGAACGATATTACCGTTTTGTAGTGTTTGTGTTGAGGATTTTTTTTTTCTTACCGTAGTTGGAGGGGGATTTGACCATGTCGTAGACGTGGGAGTAGAAGTCGGCGTACATGATGCGAGCCCAGGGGTACTTGCTCTGGAGGGAGGAGACCTTGGCCTGGAGGAGGGAGTTATGGCGGGAGGAGAGGGTGTTGAAGCGGGTGAGGCAGCCGTACTGGTCGTAGTCGCCGGCGTTGGAGGTGCCGTACAGCGTGAGGTAGATGGGGAAGCAGCCGACGGGGAGCACGCCGGGGACGACGACGTACATGGCGCCCAGCCCGATCAGCTGCTCCACCCCCTTCCCGATCCCGTCCACGATGGTGCCGCTCTGCCCCGCCGCCTGCTCCGGCGTGTACCCGCCGAACAGCTGCGCGTTGTAGTCGTTGCCCCCGAACTCGCCGAGCACGAACAGCGACTTGGACAGGTACGTCTTGCAAGCTGCACGCACCAGCAGATCAGAATGAGATGATCGGAGTTCATGGCGGCTCGCCGGCGGCGAGGTTTTGTGGGGGGGGGGGGGATTACATGAGCCGCAGATGGAGGGCATGAGCTGCTGGAACCACTGGATCTGGGTGTTGAGGGGGCCATTGTTCCAGATCTTGTCGCCGATGCCGAGCGACTGGAAGAAGCCGGAGTCCATGGTGGTGGCGCCGATGATCGCCATGTTCGCGCCTCGCCGGAAGTCGGAGCCGCCCCTCTTCGACGGCGGCAGCAACGGCAGCCCGAACTTCTCCGCTGCAAACGCACGCCAAAACAGCAGTGAGCAAAGCAGAGTTTGCTCTGCTTTTTTTTGGAGGGAAAATTTGAAAAAACAAGAAGAAACAAACGCGCGCCACAAGAATCATCGGCGGCGGCGGCGGCGGCGCACCGAGGAAGTCGACGACGAGGCGGCCGTCGGAGCAGCGGCAGGTGGCGCGGCCGAAGAAGGTCTCGCCGTAGGGAGGCTGGGTGAGCGTCAGGCCGGCGGGGGGGCCGTTCACGCAGAGGTTGCCGGTGTCGGACATGGAGTCGCCGAAGCTGAAGATGGCGTTGAACTTCTGGCCGGAGACGGCCACGAACATGGCGGACGCAACCGCGAACGCCACAACAACACGCGCCGCCATTGTTGCAAAGGTTTAGATTCAGCTCGAGCTCGATGACCAACTTGATGGATGGATGAGGCAATGCAAGATGCTGCAGGGACTCCGTGAGCTTATATACACCTCGCTAATGGTAGGTTAGCACGTAGCTGTTCGCCATTAGCCCACCTCGAGCTTAAACTTAACTACTAGTCTACTACTGCTAGTCTGCTACGACCACCTTCAACTTACTCACCTGGTTGTTGTGCATGAATTGCATGCATGGATGAACAGCTTTTGATTTCTTTTCTCGTTCATCTCTCTTTCCCTCCTGTTTCCTACTCTCGTGTTTGATCATATCAGTATCGAATCTTTGCCTTTCTTTTGGTTTCTACACACTTTTGATGCAACATCTTAATTTGTTTTTGATGTATGTGCTTTAATTTCCTTTTTGCATAAGATGTTTTCTGAGTTCTGACAATTTGCTGCCTGATCAATTGCTAACAGTTTGATTAGTCCCTGTGTAATTTAGTAGTACTGCTTTAGTGGACGCGGCAATGTGGCTTATATTTTCGTCGTCTTTTCATTATATGCGTAATAAAAACTGAATGATTGAATGTGTGTACAATACATCTGAGTTGGACCAGCATCGCTGGTGCTACTCTAGGACAGTATGTTTCATAATTGAAAGTTTGAAAAGAGGCACCTAATCATGTATTCCACTGACTTATTTTAACACTTGGAATAGCCTTTTGGATTGATTATTTGGCAAGTACAAATATACTAATGCCTGCAGAACAATTTTCATTTTTTGTCGAACTTGGAAGTGAGTGATTAGTAAATTAAGTAGGAGTACTAATGCAACCTGAGGCTGTCGACTCTGATGAAGTATCCATGCATTCTGGATGTCACTACATGTCTACATGATGTCTGCTTTTGCTTCTCAGTAGAGAAATTCATGCCATTACTGTTTGAGAACTGAAAAAGATTTAATTTGGGATCTGAAGAAACACTTCTCCTTATTTACTACTACCAGCATTAGTCTTCCTGAACATTGAATTGTGTACTTGCAGGAGTGGTTGCTATTCATAACTGTCAATCTGTCATGCATGGTGTTATTGACTTGCCTGTAACTGCTGAAAAAGCTTTTTAGTATTTATCAAGAACTTTGTTAGGTAATCCAACTCTATCATCCAAAACAGCACCCTCGCTCTCATCTACATGCTGCATGATTCCACAAACGCATTATGATTGTCAGATAGTCATTATTCATATCAGTAGCCAAAAAGTTATTTGCCTGTGATGAAACAGAAAGCTAGTCTAGCTAAGATAGTTGCTTCATTTCAGCATCATCCAGCTAAACAGCACTGATCATCACCTCCCTTGATCCTTTGTGTCAATTAGACGTCACCCTACCTTTCTTCCTCCTCTTTTCCAGGATTGGGAAACTGCTAGCAGGTCAAGCAGCATTGTCAGCAACAGCATGAGTCTGCATCTACTATCCCAAAATTATGCGCATGATTTATATAGTTAAAAAGAAATAAAAAAATATAGTTATATATGTATACCAACTCTATAAAGATATAGGGGATGCTTTAACTTTATAGGGAAGAATTTGAAGTGGTGGTTATATTTGTAGTACTTGAATCTCCATTGATGCCTACACTTCAACATAAAAAAGTAGGGCACAACAACTCCAATTAGTTCAGTATTGGGCAAGGCAGTGACATGCACTGGCTATTATTTGGGGATAGGTTGGATGCCTTGTCAATTCTTTGAGCTAACTTGGCACTGGATGAGTGGATGGGCCATGCAGTCAGTTATTAGCCAAAGTGTGAGAAAACTATGTTTCTTTTTTCTTAAAAAAAGTGTAACTGATTAACTGAAGCATCAGTTAGTCAGACTGTTTGATCTAATATCAACCATCATCTGCTGTCAGTTTGTCACAGTTTTGTCACTCATAATGTGTCAACCTCAGAGAATGGATTAAGCTGTGACATATGTTGTTTGTTCAGAGTTCAGGCTAATCCAGAGAGAGAAATAATATGCCATTGTGTTACCATCATTCAGATCAACATCTTGCAACAATATATCATGCATTTGCTGATTTGCTTTGCATGGATGGATGCAGATAACTCCATCATGCATGTGACATGAGCAAAGCTCAACAACTACTAATTAATTTACAAGATTATCCACATGAGACCTCTGTCTACAAGACCAATGTCAAAGCACATCTTTTGACAACTTCGATTCCTTATTCCTCTAGCTGTCACACATTCCCAGGAGGAAAGCTCAATTAGCATCTAATCAGTGGATCACTGTATTTGTTTAATCTGTCAGCTGTAATTATCTGCCTGCTAACTCAGTACTACTCCTTCTGGTTTCCTAATACCAAATCATTAACTTTTAAATACACGTTTAATCAACATTCTCATTTAAAAATCTTATACAAATATATAAAAAATATATGTCACATTTAAAATACGTTTAATTATAAAAACAAATCACAACAAATAAATGGTAATTACATATTTTTTAATAAAACAAATTTTTGGATAATAAAAATAAATTACATCGTCGGTTTTTATTATAAGACATACAAACATTAAGTTTTTTTAACAAATAACCAATCTTAAAGTTAATATCATCGTATATTAAAAAACAAAAAATATCATCGACGAATCGGATGAGAGAAGCTGGCGAGTGTGGTGTAGTACTAGGGTACTCGCAGAAACGTCTCGTTTCGCTAACGGACAAGCGCTCCAGTACCACGAACTGCTGCAGCGACTCGCAGCGTGGACTTGATGCAGAGCAATTTGTGCAAAATGGCCGTCGTTTTCTGCGGCATCTGATACTGTGTTTTGCAAGCGAACCTTCCAATGTAACTAACTCACTCTCTCTCTCTCCTGCTAACAACTCAATTTCCCTTTTCTAACGCCCTGGTTTAGGGTCGAGTTGAAGCAACCAAAGAGCTTTGGTACTCTGCCTGCAATTTGTGGTTGATGCTGAAAATGAGATGTCTGAAACTCTGAATATTCAGGTATAAATATGTTTGCTAGCTGCAATTTGTTCGATTAAGAGAATTTAATTTTACCGATCTCGTGAAGTAGTGTTTCTACTACCAATAGATACTACTGTAAAACGGTATACCTTTTTGGTGGTTTCTAGTTGCATCGATCTAATATGTTTTGTTTTCCTTAAAACCTTTAGCTGATGAGCTTTCCTCTGTCCTTCCATGAATCATTGCTTAATCCACCGGGTGACATGTTCACATCATGAGCTGGAGAATTGAATTCCAATGGATGATGCATGGATGCAACCGACGATCCATCGATCGAGACGGTACTAAATGGAGAATATTAGTGCAATACGTGGTTAGCTGCAACGACGTGCATGCATAATGCATTGCATCCTGGGAGGGTACAGCTTTGTGTACATTGATCATAAGATAATCCAAATGTAATCCAAGTGTCCAATAGCCTCACAGTTTCGATCGAAATTGACAGGTTGAAAAATAGCAAGAGCAACTCATCACTCGCATGATGAACGTGTAGTGCTATCGATCAACAGTCGGCACAAATTGGGGCGGTTAATGTGTCAAGTTCAGAGATGAATCTGGCAGCAACATGTTACCTACCTGGAAGCGACGTCCGTTGATTAATTAATTGGTTTATTTAGCTTTAAGGTTGATCCTATCTTACAGGACAAAAATGGACGGTTAACCGTTTGAGAAAATCTATAAAAAGCAATCGATTATACCAGAGGTTCAGTTTATGGATGCATCTGAGAAAATCTGGACGGTTAACAGTTCATTTTCCGATCAGACGGCATAAGTTCTTCTGCCTCAGATGGTCGAATCAGACCAGAGGTATAAAACAAATACACTAGAAAACAATGTTATTTTCGAATAGCTCTAATAATCTGAAAAGAACTCAAATCTGATGGGTGCAATCAAACCCTGAAGAATCGAACCGGACATTCACGAAGAAGAAAAATCAATGCGAGATCGCCCGAGACCGATCATTCTGGTGAAAGTACATTGCATTTACATCACATGGATGGATGGATGGATATCCATCCTGCAGAGAGCCTGAAACCTGTAGCTGAAGGAGGTCGATCTACAGACTACAGCTGAGGCTGCAGGACCATGGTTAGCTGGGTGTCCGGCACACAGTGGTTTCATCACTTAGAAAGTTCACAGGGATGCCTGAATTGCTGACTCGATAGGCATCATAACAGCTGAGATTAATTGTAGCCATCATCATCATCATCATGCCAGGACAACCCAACTAACTGTTTTACATATGTGTTCTTTTAACTCTTTTTCTTTCAGCATGTTCAGATCAGTACTTCAGACCATTGTCAACGGGAGAAACAGGGAACTAATCTACATCAACATTGTTTACACATGTGATTGAATGCTTTGCAGAGAGCAGATGCTAGTTGCTATCTCATTTTTAGAATGTAAGCTGGTTCGGTTTTGTTATAAGTCAAACTTTTTAATTTAAATTTAATTAAGTCTATAGAACAGACGTAATAATATTTTAACACTATATTTAATAGGAAAAATTGTAACCATACCATTATAATTTTGTAAAATTTGAGATATGACATCCTGACCCACATGTCATTGACTCATGTGGGTTCTACATGCCATTGAGATACCGATGCCATATCTTAAACTTTGAAAAATTATAATGGTATGGTTCCAAATTACCTATTTAATAAGTGTCTGAAGGAAACGATGGACTTAATAAAACTATTTAAGTCATGTAGATGTCATTACATTTTTCGATAAATTCAGTATGAAAAAAACAGAATATCATCTTACCTTCTAAACCGGAGAGAACAGTAGCAGCAAAAACAAGATGGGCCAAGCTAATGAAGTAAAGTTATACAACGACCAAAGGAAAAGGATTAAAAAAAAGACAATAATTGCTTACTCCTACATGGATCATGGATGCATGTAGGTGACTGCATTTCTGTTGGAGGTTTGCTGCTGCTGATTGATGACGAAGTTTGATTCAACTTCTTCTCCTTCTTCATTCGGCAGTCAACATATATATCAGTCATCAGTGCAGACGGTCGGTGGATGCAGGTAGCTGTGCTGACAGTGTGTATAGTATGTAGGTGAGTTGGATGTTTTCAGGGTCACTGCAGGTGGTGCTCGTTAAGGCTTAAATCAATAATTATCGATCGCGTACACGTAACCATCAGCTTTTGCATGGCTTAACATGCATGATGCATTATTACGGGTATAAATGTGTAATCAGTACATGTAATTAGTCAACACGGCTAGTATTTAGATCTTTGTTTAGATCATGGACCATCTATGATTCAGCTAGCTAACCTTTGGTGCTCTGGAGCAGTGTGCGTTGCTTTCAGTAAAGGTAGGCAGGATGTTGATTAGTGAAATGTATGTATCTGTCTATATATACTACGCATATAAAATACTGCATGAGTTTGTCGGATTTGTCATTGTAGTGCGTACGTTTGATTAATTTGATGTTAAAATCAACCATATCAGATTATAATGCCGTAATTTAGAAGTATGCAGGTTATTTAGTTGTACGCTTGATTTGAAGAAAAACGTCGAACGGAGTTTTATCATTTAGTAAAAAATAATTTATTACTTACTAAAAATATTTCAAACAGATGCAACATTAAAAATACTAATTGCAACACTAAAGTAACCACTGCATGCAACATCGAAGAAAACCGACACTACTTAAAAACAAAGTGTTTTTCCTGACGGCTACTTTGCGTTCTCTATGACGGCCGGCGCTACCGCTAGCAACTAAAGGCCAATGAAAATGAACCATCTTTACAGGCGGAACTTCACCACAGTTAGGTTACGCTGATTGTTAGGGAAAATGATTTTTGATCACAAAATAAAAAATCACAAATCCGATGCCTGGCCGCCAGGAAAATATGATTTTCGAGCGAAAAAGTTCCGCAAATCCATTGTTGTGCCCGGCTCCGCCGCTGGATGCGCCGGTTGCACCCCGAGTCATCGCTGGATCCACCACCCCAAGCCGCCGGATCCACAGTCCGAGCCCCAAGCTGCTGCCTGTTCGCCATATGTGGGATAGGGGAGGGGGTGGAAAAGCCACGCCGAAGCCCAGACATCGCGTTGTCAAGCACCGCTACCGCCATATTCGTCCCCTCCACCGAGCACCGCTGCTGGAGAGAGGTGAGGTAGGCTGGTGTGACTGGATCTCAGAGAGAGAGAGGGGGGTGAGGAAGACATTGGATTTAGAGAGGGTTGGAGAAGAGGCCGCAGCAGCGGCGGTGGGTTTGGTGGTGGCGGGGGAAAGGGAGGAGCGAGGGAGAGGAGGGTTGGTGGTGGCCGCTGCAACGACAGTGGTAGGACGTGGTGGAGGAGAGGGAGCTGGGTCAGGGCGGTGACGGATCTGCCGCCGAACAGGGTCACCGCTGGTTGTGGATGCTGCCACCCATGGGGAAGGAGGAGGAGACAGGCGCGCTCAAGCTCATAGTGGTGCCGATGAGGAAGAAGAAAAGGTAACGGAGGAGGGAGGATGAAGTAAAGGAGAGGGGACTTAAGTATCGGAAATTTTTTTTAAAAAAAAAATCAATATAGCTATTTAAAACAACTGTTTTATAATTTATTTTACATAATAAAAAAATAGTTTAGCAGTTTGAAAAATATATACTCAAGGAAAACGAAGAATGAAGTATTGACGGTACCAACCGCCACAACCAAGATAGGGGTCAAATGGTTGCACGCCCAGCTCAGCCAACCCATTCCAAAAGCAGAATCGTCTTGTTAGGCCCAGACCGCTCCACTGTCGACGTAGGCCTCGTCGGCCGTTTGCTGTTGTACTCGGCACAGGTCCAGGTTCACATCAACAATCGGGTATACGCATCTGTACTGGTGCCATTGTGTTTGGCAATTTTTTTGTCTAATCGTATCTCGCGTTCCAGTATTAATTATCAGCCATCCGTCCTCGTGTCGCAAAAACATGATAGACATGCAGTTTAAAGTGTACGATTATGTTTACAGCTTATTTGAAAAAAAAATGATTATGTTTACACTACAGTGACGTCCAGGATAATGGTCAAAGGCAGCATTTGTCCAGATCAGCCCAGCCCATTCCATGGTATCTTACCTCAATTACAAAATAAGTTCATTTTAACTAATCTCACATATACAAATACAAAATCTCAAAAACTAGAATATTCATATTTTATCAAATCCCAATATAATTTCTCTCTGTCCAAAAATATATGAGATTTTGGTCGGATGTGTCCCAATCTAAGCTAGACTCTTCTGTTCAGACTCGTAGTATAGGATGTGTCACATCCGACTAATTTTTTTTATTCCCCTTAAAAAAATCTTTTGTATTCTAGGATGGGTGGAATTTTGCTCACTTTATCTACTCCCAATAAATCATTCCCTACTTTCATAAATTCCTATGCAATAGTTACTCCGAAAATACACTAGTGTATAACTTTGAGATAAGCGAAGGAAGCTACTCCAAGTCATAAGTACAAATGAACTTAGTATAGAACGAATGATACATACTGAAATAAAGAACCGCACCAAGCGATGAATTTTTTTAATTTTTAATTTTATTTATTAAAATATTTACAGAAATAATTTTTGATTTGAAAATTTTACAAAACTAGTCGTCCATCGCCCTCTGGGAGAGCGATTTTACTAACGTGGCAGAAAGCCGATGGCCCTCCTGTAACGGTTGGCCACCGAGGGATGGGAAATTTATAGGCGGCCCCCTTATAGCCCTCTGGGAGGGCGACTTTTTACTGTGCAGGGTCTGCCTGCATAGTAGAAAATCGTCCACCCAGAGAGCTAAAGGGGGCCACCTGCAAAATGTCACCTCCTCCCGTACAGTACAAAATAGCCCTCCTAGAGGGCAGTAAGGGAGCTGCCTGCAAAAATGCCAGGCAGCCCTCTTAGCTCTTTTGCAAGCGGCCCTCTAGAGCAAAAATCGCCCTCTGGGAGGGCGACAAGGGGGCGGCTTGCAAAATTTCAGCGCCCTTGGTGGCTGACCGTTATGACAAGCCAACAGCCGGCTACCACGTCGGAAAAACGCTCTCTGGGAGTGCAATTTTTCCCAGAAAGCGATGGGCGACTAGTTTTGTAAAATTCTCAAACCGAAAATTATTTCTGTAAATATTTTAATAAATAAAATTAAAAATAAAAAAAATTCCCAAGCGATGCATAGCATGACCCATCAGATCCATTTTGTTAGGCCCAGATCAGACCACTCCACTCGTCTACGTAGGCCTCCTTGGTCACAGCGGCCGCCCACTTCTGCCCAAATCGCATGTCCCGTCCAGGTTCACCGCCACAAACCGGCCGGGTGGACGCATCCGCACTCCACTCCACTCCACTCCACTCCACTGCACGCCAACGCCCAAGCCCACCAACCCAAGTTGAGTCGTGGCCCCCCCTTCGCCCTCTCCTCGGGCCGGTCCACTTTTGCGGCCGCGCCCGCGCAACGCGGCCTCTCTCGTGACGCGAGCCCGATTCCCCCGAGCCACTGCACCTGTACCCGACGCGCGACGCGGCACAATGCCCGCCTCACCTGCACGTACGCCATGCCTCCCACCCCTCCGCCGCTCCGCGCGCCCATGTGTCCAAGATTCCGGAACCGACGACGTACGTCGACGTACGTGAGCCGCCGCCATGGATTCGCTGCCTATATATACGCACGCGATCGAGCTGATCGATCAGTGTAGCGATCTACGAGATGAGGCCGTCGATCGTGCTGTTCGGGGACTCGATCACGGAGGAGGCGTTCGGGGAGGGAGGGTGGGGCGCGCACCTGGCCAACCACTACTCGCGCTCCGCCGACGTCGTGCTGCGCGGGTACAGCGGCTACAACACGCGGTGGGCGGCCATGGTCGCCGCGCGCGCCGTCGTCGCCGGCGCGGCGGGGGCGGCGGCGCCGCCGGCCGCCGTCACCGTCTGCTTCGGCGCCAACGACGCCTCCCTCCCCGGCCGCGCCAGCGCGCTCCAGCACGTCCCGCTCCCGGAGTACAGGGACAACCTCCGCGCCATCTGCGCCCTCCTCGCCGCCGCCTGGCCCTCCGTCGTCGTCATCCTCATCACCCCGCCGCCCGTCCACGACGCCGCCCGTGTCCGGTATACACAATCGCTCTCATCTTGCATCAATTTTATTGGTTTTCTCGATCGTCGAACACAATGCAAGAATGGATCACCAATGGCGCGCCGCCGCGCGCGTGCAGGTACCAGTACGGCGGCGATTGCGCCGGCTTGCCGGAGAGGACGAACGAGTCGGCCGGCGCGTACGCGCGCGCCTGCGTCGAGGTGGCGGCGGAGTGCGGGCTGAGGGTCATCGACATCTGGTCCAAGATGCAGCGATTCCCCGGCTGGGAGAGCTCATTCTTGAGGTAATCAAATCAAAGCAAATCAAGCAAACACCTCATCACCTTGTTCTTGTGATGAGCTGCTGAGAGCAAGTTTAGTACTGTAGCTAACTACTAGCCTCAAATCACGTTAACAACTAATTTATATAATAATTATCTATAAACATATACTACATTATTAATATATGATCCCACCTATCATATATACATTATGTTTTGGAGTCCGTGTTTCAAATAGCTACAAATCTGTAGTTTGCCTTTTATTTTCTCTTCTATTTTCTCTTCTCAATATGTGTTTATAATTGGTTTATAGTTTACTGTTATACCCGCTCTGATGAAATTTGGCGCGAAATTTGAAGGGACGGGCTGCACCTGACGCCGCGCGGGAACAGGGTGGTGTTCGAGGAGGTGGTGTTCGCGCTCAAGGACGCCAGCCTTGGCCTCGAAGCGCTCCCTGCCGACCTGCCGCTCTTCTGCGACATGGATCCAAACAACCCCGTCAAGTCCTTCGACGAATGACTCATCATCGCAAAAAATTCGCATTACTGATTTGAGAAAGAGAATTTGAATTCCTTTTCGTTGCGTTTTTTTTAATTTACGGTGCTATTTGCTGGAGAAATGTTTGAGGTTATAAATGTCTCGGTTATTATTGTTTTGATTCTTTAGAAAGATTGGATGAATAATACATGTATCGACCGTATTGTCATGTAATGTTTTCTTTGGACAATGAAATTCAATACACGATCGAGCTGAGCTTTTTTTAAGATAAGAGCTCCTGCTTACGGGCCATTACAACAAGTTCAGAAACAATGATAGCAACACACGGCTAATGGTGAAGGTACATTGTTTAATTTGGTGGACTTGCTTGTAAACCGTTGCAACTTTTGTCATTCTGACCATTTCATGGATACAAGGATTGTTAGGAGAAATGAACAGCCCATAATATGTTTTTTTTTAAATAAGGGAGGCCAGAGGACTTCGCCGGGCAGAAACAAACCAAATAAAAAAATATTGGTACACGCTGTGAATTGGATTAACGTCCAAAATAGCCTAATCAAATCGTTTCTCAATTCATACTTACTCCCTCTATCTCAAAATATGTTAACCAAGAATGTGACTAGTGTCAGACGTAACGTAGAGGCGGAGAGGTCTTTAAGCCTCCACTGTTTGAACCATGGAAGCACTCCAAAAAATATATATATATTGCCACACCTCCATTGAAAGGCGGGGCTTGGACCTTGGAGCTCTATTTTAGTTTCGAGATAATTTTGTTCTTGTCTCCACTTTGATGTCTAATATTGATTTTGCCCTTGTTTTTTAGGGTTTTCGTTTTTACCCCTACTTTTTTGAAACGAAACAACTATTTGCCCCAGTTCCATTAATTCTTACTAATGGTGTTAAATGTAGGGTTAAAAAGACAATTATACCCTTAGATATTTTCCGGTACTTTTGACAATCAAAACACAAATTGATACCATACTATAGCAGTAATTTAATTTGTCAAAATTTTGTGAAAGTTTGCCAAAATTCCTTATCTCAAAATAGGGCAATTGTGCAAGTGGTGTACAGAAGTATCAGAATCGCTCTCTCTCTCTCTCTCTCTCTCTCTCTCTCTCTCCTGTCCTACCCAATTCCCAATCTTGCTCTCAAGCCGTAGCACTCAGCATCGCAGCGGCCGGGACAACGGCGACGAGGCAGCGCAACGCAACGGCGGAGGAGGCGATGAGGCGTAGATCCCCCCCAGGTGGAGGTGGTGAACGATTGACCGTCGACGATAGACCGGCGATGCGCCGAGGCGCGGCCGAGCGGAGCCACAAGGCAGCAGAGACGACATCAGGGCCACTGTCTAGTGTCGAAGGCTCCAAGTCCAAGGGGGAAATTAATTTCAAGACTTCAAGGTACATAAAATTTGAAATCAATATCAAGTCCAGTTGTGTGGTAATAGTTAAAGTTCAGTGCTCAGTTAAAATTTGAAATCAATTTCAAGTCCAGTTGTGTGGTACGGAGTAATAGTTAAAGTTCAGTGCTCAGTTAAAATTTGAAATCAATTTTATGCTTGATTTAATGCTTTCTGTTGCTACTTTGCTGCTCACATCTCACCAACTGAGTCCTATAACAAACCTCACTCATCAAATCCAATGATCCAGAATCATCTAATCCAACGCTTTAGATCGTCCCACGTTACCCCTCCCCCTCCGCACGCACCCCTCCTCTCTCAGATCAATTTCAATCGCGCCGCCCTCCTCTCTCGGTCACTCTCCTCCCCCTCAACCGCCGCCGCATCCGCCACCGCTGCCTCCACGTCCCCGATCCACGCTGCGCCGTCTTCTACGCCGGTCGAGATCTCCGCCGTCGTCGCCACGCACAGCCACCTGAGCTGCCCCCTCCGAAATCGCCATACCCTGCACCTGAGTCACCGAGGTCCGCGCCGCCAAAACTCCGTCGCGCCAACCCTCCATCCGCTATCCCCGTCGCCATCGGCCACCTCCTCTACGGCTGTCCCTACCACGAAGACTGCCTCCTCCTCGCTTGCATCGTACATTTGAAGGTTTCCGCCTCCTGATTCTATCCCCGATCCCCCAAATCTCTAACCCCAACTCTTTGCAGTTCAACGGAGAAGGCCGGTGTCTTCTTGGTCCTTCCGTTCTGATCTCCATTCCTTTACTCCAATTCCCATTCTCTGATTTTTTTTCTTTGTTATTTGCGTGTGAGGGTGGGCCCACCAGTGATTCAAGGGTATTCAGACGTATACCCAAGATTTTTGAAAAAAAATAAGTATATATACTCCATACCTCGTATATGTATTAAAAAATTAAAGAGAAGGCTAAAACTTCTCATTTTGGGTCCTGTTTTACCATTTCTTCTCTATTGGATCTAAATTTCCCACTTCCTTCCCTCCCCTTTCCTCTCAGCCCACACTCAGCTTGGGCCGCAACTAGTTCATTTCCCCTCCCCGCTTAGGCACAGCAAACCCAAATCGGGCAAACCACTGAGGACGTGCGCGGTGCGGCGGCGGCGTCTGGGCGGCGGCGACTGCACCGGCTGCGGCGGCGGCTGCCGGCTGCGTCGGCGGCAGGCGGCACCGAGGCGAGTAGGTAGCGCGTCGGGTAGGGGTGGGCAGAAAAAGACCGAACCGAAAAGACCGAGACCGAGAAATTCGGTCATTAATTCGGTCCTAGGTAGTGAAAGACCGAATTTTGTTCGGTCAATTCGGTTAGTCTCCTCGGTTAACCGAATGGACCGAAAAGACCGAATTATCAAAAAAAACGTCTAAATGCAACATACAATCCACTATGTTTAATAGGATTAAACTCTAATTTTCACATCCCTACTTCTTCTAGGCATGCAACCTAACAAGAGTCTTTACTCATAAGTGCTTACAAATTTTTTTTTTGATTTTTGTGTTGAAAATTTTCATTATTTCTTTGCATATATGAAAATGTTCTTGAATTTCGGTCAAGACTGAGACCGAGACGGAATTTGTCGGTCCTAACATTTTTTTTCGCTGAAATTCGGTTTTTACTTTTCAAAGACCGAAGACGGAGACTGGAATTTTCGGTTAGACCGAATGACCACCCCTAGCGTCGGGCGTGCGGCGGTGACTGCAGTCCAGTCTGCAGCGTGCTCGTCGGCGGCTGCGGCGTGCGTGGCGGCGTCGGCGGCAGGAGGCGCCGAGGCGTGCAGGCGGCGCGTCGGCGGCTGCGGCCGTGCGGCGTCGGGGTTCGGGCCGTCAGGCGTCGGCGCGTCGCCGGCGTGCAGGCCGCCAGTCCGCTAGGCCACCACACAGGTACGCGATGCGGCGGCCGAACGACCACGGCTCGCCGGCCTGGCATGGATTGCGTGAGGGGCTTGATTCATTGCATTGATTTGTTCTAGGTAGTTCAATAGTAGTTATGTTTTCTGGCGGTGACGGCTTGATTCATTGATTTGTTCTTTAGTAGTTCAATAGTTCACTAGCACTGAAGGATTCAACTTCCTTAGTTCCTGTCTTCTTTATTTTTCAGTGTCAACTGTTAAGTGTATATTTATTGACAGATTGATAGTATAAAGCTGTAAATATTAGGAATTTAGATAACTTAGAACCATAATATTTAATTTTCGGAGTGTAAAATTTATATATATGATGATAGTATGAGGCTATATATGAGCTGCTGTTAGGAATTTAGAGAATTTAGAGGGGGTGTTTTCTTCGATGGACTATATAAAAACAAGAAGCAAGATGAGCAACAATCTACATTCATTGGAAGAGAATTCTTTTTACAAGGTAAAGGATGAGGACATCATCACTCATTTTTAAAATACCAAGCATCGAAAAGTTCTCCTCTAAACTGTAAGAGTTTTTTTTATCATTTTACCATTCTCCATCCTTTACATGTTTTATATGTTGCCACTTTCATATGTCGAATAATTAGTACTTATATATGTTAAAGAATTTGGACTTATGATCAATTCTACCAATTTATAAAGTTATGGCCAATTTTGTGTTCTATATGCTATAATATTATACAATTAGTAATGTGTGATATTATACCAATTAATTATTGGACTTCTGGAGGTAAAAAGAATTTTGTTTTACCCCTACCTATTTTGAATACCCAACCTCTAAATCTTAGGCCCACCCCTTAGATATATGATAAGTTCATTTTTGATGTTCTTATTAAATTCTCAAAAGTCTTAGCATTGATCTGAACTCTGATGAACATGTTTTCTATATTTGGCTTTGTTCAAAAGATTGCTACCTTTCAGAAGGCATCTTGTTATCAGGTAGTGATTCACCTAAGCATGTTGCTCATGGTAGCTAAGCATGTTACCATCATAATTGTAATTCAGTACGCTCAACTGATTCTATGATAAATAATGAATCCATTTCAGAAATATATAATAATAATATATATCTTTGCTTGGATATTTGGTTTTCAAGATATTTCAACATTTGTATTGCCAACATATATATCCTTTTCTTTTAATTGTTTGATTTACACGCATTACGATATTGTGTCGTTGCATTAGCACGTGCATGTTACTAGTATTATTCTAGTTTAAGAAACACAAATAATGAGATTGCAAGTCAGCCAAAGAGGCTAGAGCAGAAGTTAGTCATTTGGATATAATTAGTGACCCAGGGATTCGAAAACCAATTGAAGATTATCCACGTGAGCATCGCATTATCTATTGGAGAATTGTTTTGTAGGGACAAAATTGCTTGCCTATTTTTAATTTTATGTATGTGTAAATGTGTAGCCAATTTATACATGAAACATGTTAATTTTTTTCTAGATTCACCCTTGTTTTCAGCCGCCATGGACGCGGCGGAAGGTGGAGGTGGCGGCCGAGGCTGGGGTGACGCCGTGGTTGCGCTGCCGTCGACATCCGCAGCAGCAATGGAGGGCTGAGAGAGGGCGCTCACCCCGATGATAGCGTACAAAGGGGAGGAAGACCTTCGACTTCCAGAGCGGCCAGGGTTTGGTTCAACTGGAAGGGAAGTGGTTGTCACCACCAACCACTTCCATGTTGGCGTCGAGAACGCCACAATCTATCAGTATAATGTAAGTTTCTTCCTCACAGTCGCATAATATTCTACTCATCTTTAGTTCATTTTAGAAGCATTCGCTTATTTCATACTACTACTAAATAAATCTTGATTTTATATTGAACATTCAAAGATTCGTTTTTTAATAATACTAGTTGGGTGCCCATGCGTTGCAACGGGCAAAAAAAAAAAACTATACATTAATTTTAAATTACACCAATTGAAATGATGGGAAATAATCATTGAGAAATTTTAATATAGCACAAACAAGAAATATGCCATAATTTTATAGTCTTCATATATTAGTAACACAAAGAGCAAAAATGGTTGAATAAAACGCTCGTAAGGAAGCACAACCATGTATGTAAATATTTCAAATCATAGTTGTGGTTCAAATTTTATTGTATTGGCCGTAATCGTGAAACTAAATAGACAAAACCATCCATAGATATCACAAATAATTTTTTTTTCCAAAGTCTTCTTAATAGATTGTGATTTTAGTACCGACGAAGTTGACTACAAATCTTAGTACATTCCACAATGTGATAAATTAATTTTTGAGCATTTTTTTCCACTGACTTCATGATTAGGTTTCTATGAACCCCGAGCCAAAATCAAGAGCTAAAAAAGGAGAGGTACTTTCAGAGATGGTAGAGTTGCATGAGGAGATGACTTATGACTGCAAAGTGCTTGCCTAATTGATCCAGGCTGCTTATGGGCCTCTGCCTTCTGTCCCAATGCCCATGACACTACACCCTCCTTTTGAGCAGCTCATCCTCAAGCTGCAACACGATCTTTGTTGGCTGAGACAACTCCCTAAACAAGGCCTAACATGACTCAAGCCATGCAGCCGCTGCACATTGCTTCAATCCATCCGCCTCTGAAAATCGTGCCGATGCATGACGAAACAAAGCCATCTCACCTGGAAATCGCGCCCAAGGTTGTGTCAGCCGTTGCGCCGCAATCACCGCAGTCGTTGGTGCTAGAGGTTGTGAGCCCTAAGAAACGGCCCTGCTCGTGGCATCACCCTGCATCGCGGTCGCCGACGACGACGTCGTTGCCAAGTCCAACGTCGAGGTTGAGGGCTTCCTGGACCTGGCCGTTGGTGACACGAATCCACCTGCCTGGACAACTTGAAGTGACGTGGACACGGTAGTGGTTGCTGATGCCGTGTGACGATGACCTTCGTCAGATTTGTTGTGTCTCCTGCTTCTTCCAGAGGTCAGCCGCCATCTTCGCCCGAGGCGATGGTGCCACAGCCGGCCTTGTCATCATTATACTCAGCACCATCTTCTGCTGCACTGCCACCTCTTGCTCCATCGCGAAGGCTGCCAGCGGGAACGGCTGAGTTGAAGGTGCAGTGGTCAGAGATGTTAACATCGTGTCCACAACCTGAGTAGAACTTGTTGCCGGTGCCATGAAGTCACTAGTCAAGCCATCGCCAAACGACGTCATTGCTGTCCTCCTTGCCGAAGAAGAATGTTGTCCATCTTTGCCTCCAAGACATCCAGCATCTCTAACTTCTTAAGGATGGCCGTCAGCTTGTCATCGATCGACATAACCACAGGCGTAGGAGATTCTAGGGGTGGGGAGGGGGGAGGGGTGGGGGGAGGTTCTTGTCAGGTTTTGAAAATTCGAGGGGAGAGATGTCTGGTTTTGAGTTTAGAGGTGTTATTTGTACTCACCTAATAGTTCGGGTAATTCGTACTTTTCTCATAATTTAATAATGTACATCTTTTGTGATAAAAATGCTACTATATACTCTCTCCGTTTCTAAATATTTGACGCCGTTAATTTTTTTAAATATGTCTGACCATTCATCTTATTCAAAGAAAACAAAGAAAACACCACATTAATATACATATTGCGGAGAGATACACTATTATCGTCTGTTACAAACTTGGTCATTCTTGTCCTTTTAGGCCTTCATTACTAAATACAGAGATGATCAAACCATTTGTGTATAATACGAAGCATAGCTAATCTTCTTCCTTTTTGAAAGGGGAAGCATAGCTAATCTGATTGTTCAAATAATGGCGACCACTTGGCAGTGGCCGAAATCTCAAGACCGTCCATACAACTAGAACAGCCTCCACTTGCAGTAGAACTCCCCTCGTTCTGTGGTACAAACGACATACTCCCAAACAACACATCCTCAGTGACATGCTCAAGGAGATCATTAACACCACCACCATGACTAAAGCTCTTATCATTTGAAGGGCTGTTATACGTGAAGAAGCGAAGCAACAGAATTCCATCACCGTCCACGCATAATGTGACCGGGGGCAACTTGCCAACGCTCAACTTGCCGTCAAATATCATGAATTGTCCCCACTGTACGCAGTAACCTGCAACAACTGTAAGTGAATCAAAACAGTTCTCTCCGAGATCGAGTACCTCAAGCTCCAATGTGCCCAGTACTGCCTTATCAAGGGCAACCATCTCCAGAGCAACAGTGCCACAATGACCAGTGTCGATGTGCCAACGGTATCTATGAAGTTCTGAATAGAACGATGGGGCATACATAGAATGCCCGTCTATCAACACTTTATCGTCTTTCCTTTCTTGACCCTTAATGACAAGGTAGTATTCGATCAACATAGGCCCAACTGCATATATGCCTCTAGGTGGCCAAATTAGAGGCCGTATCTTATTAGAGCCCTGTGCAGTAATTTGTGAAAGAAACATCAAAGTTATTAGACATACGTGCATCAAATGTTACAAGAATAAAATGAAGTATTAATTCTAGTGCCTAATCATCTGGTACATAAAACACTTGTCCCAGAGATAATATATTGGTGTTTTAACCACTAATCCCTCCATTTATGAATATAACTGTTGGTGTCTATTACTATTTTGACTCTGACCGCAAATTACTCTTAAATGATTAGAGTTTGATGAATGAGAGCTTCACGTTTGTATATATTTAAGATGCCATACACTACGAAAATATGGTGTACTTTTTTTTTTCTTTTTGCGACAAGTGGACAAAGTTAAAAAATGAATAATTCCCAATGTCAGTTATTTCAAAAAGGAGATAGATTTATGTCAAAGTTTAAAGAGCACAACTACAGAAAAGGAGGGGACCCTTTTAAGACAAAAGGTATAAACAAAACAAACTTAGTCATGAAATCTCTCACCGGCCGAAGCTTATATGGTTTGTCCCTCGAGTATTGAAAGACATGATTACGTTGTTGGTTGTTTCGTACATCTCTAAATGCAAATATACCGTAGATCTCCATTGGTTCATCATGGGGGGACGATACATTCAAATCATACACCTGGATTGCACGCCGACAAGGTTCATTCCTGTGGTTGTATCCATTTACCCAACGATTTTTCCACTTTGGCAGCTGGGGCACTGCAACAGGATTTCAATAAACTAGTATTACAGACACAAACACCGTGAGTCATTAACTTGTATCCTGCATTCTAAACATTATACAAAATCTGTAATCAATATTTGTAAACTATACTTCCACATGTTATATGTAAAGATATAGTTCAAACGTAAAAATTAAGTTGTTCACTAGAAATAATAATAACTAAATGGACAAAGGCCATGTTTGGTGAGATTGAGAGATCCTGGGTAGCTAGGTAAGAATATGGATAAACAGGGGCTGCCTAGCTTTTGGTAGCTACTACTAAGTCTTAGAATCTCCAGCAAGCATCTGGATTATTTGAGAGAACTGGATATGAAGCTCTCCTAAATAGGATCTAAAAATTGAAGGAAAAAAAACTATATATGATCATTTGTGATTTATACAATACCTTGCTTATATAAGATTAATAAATACTCCAATTATTTACTAGAAGATGTAGCATGTTAAGACTTACATAGATGCTCCGTCGACAGGATATCTGGATCCAAATGACATGGCCCTTCAACATGTAGAGACCCCTCAAAAATAGGACAAAAGAAATCATTTTGTCGTTGCTTTGCAATTGATACTGTGAACTTCATTTGCTCCATAACCTGATTCTCCCATCTCTCCTCCCTCTCAGCAGCGTAGTAAGGATTTCCATCCTCGTAGCGGAATTCATACCAGTATCCGTCGAAAGAATCGCATTCATCTGGATCAACCGAGAATTCACTTTCGGACTGGTAATTATCTTCTCGAGGGCAGGCCCAGCCTGGAAGTGTCCCTTGCCATTCAGATTCTTCATTCAGAATAGAGTCCATGTCCTTGCCCCAGAGCCAAGTGTTGAGCACCTCACGCTCCAATTCCTCCCTCATCATCCCCAAATCCCGGTCCAAATCGTCAGCCTCTTTCTCCTCCTCCTCCTGCTGCGAATTCCCGTCAATTTTACTAAAACCTACTCCCGACATTGATTCTTGGGGGGATTTCAGCCACAAATCAACAAGAATCGCGAAGCGGGACGGGACCAAAAATAATTTGAATGCCTAACCTTTCCTCCGTAGCTTGTTGGCCCCGGCTGCTCTACGGATTGGGATTGCGATTGGAAAGAAGCATAGCAGCATCGAGTGTGTGTATGTACAGTACAGGAGCAAATCGCTTCCAACACGGACTCTGACTCTGAGATGCATTGCGAGGCGGCTAGGGTTTTCCTTCCTTTCACGGACGGGAAAGCAGAGGCTTTTAGTGGGCCCAGCCCAGCCCAGCCCAGCCCAAGCCCGTACAAGCTGAGCTCTTTCTCATTGGGCTACATCTCAGAAAGGCCTGTTTCTGAGACTCGGCTCGGCTCGGAGCCGACGTGCCTCCACCACCACTCGTCGCACGAGCTTGGCGAAGGTGGAGGGAGTGGCTCGTGGGCTTCCTCCGCGGCCGACACGGCTTGGCGGGTGGGCGGGCAGAGCCGCGTCGGGTAGCCTCCTGGTGGGGCGGAGCCACCCCCAGCTGCAACGGCCCCAGCCTCACAAAGGTGACATAGGGTGAATCTCAGCCCTAGAAAGTAAATCCAATGGCTAAGATTCGTCCACATAATCACGAGTTAAAATTTTACTCCCAATACCTGAAAATTTACTCCTAGTAAAATTTTTACTCCTAAATAAATCTGCGAGTAAAATTTTAACTCATGATGACGTGGATGGATCTCAGCAGTTGGATTTGTTTTGGAGGGCCGAGATTCACGCTATGTCACATTGTGACATGCCTACCTTATGTCACCCAATCCCAATCCGAGGGAGAGAGAGCAGTGGAACTGAGGAAGAGATAAGGTGGAGACTAAGGATAACATGTGGGGCCCACTTTCATTTTTTGCTACATCAGTGTCTAGTCAGCACGAGTGGATCGGGTCAAATTGTTACGTCAACAAAATCAGATGTATATACTGCTATAGGATCCAAATTGGATGGTTTTGTATAGTTTAGGGGTGAAGATTTCTGGTATTGAGGATAATGGATGTCAAACAAACTCAGTGTAAAGTTGAGTGACGGCAGGTGAACTTATACCTTTACTTGGGCATCGGGTTGCAGGAACGGAAGAGGAGGAGGACCAACAACGCTTCCTCCTCAAGCTCATGCCTTCCACAAGGACCATCATCAGCGTCATCGGTCGGTGTTCGCGTCCGAGCTACATAGCGGCAGGCAGGAGGCGGAGGCTGACACCCATGACGACGGGTTCGCTGGACCACCACAAATTTCTAAGGCTCTCTGATCAAGAGCCCGAGGAGTAGGTTCTATGTGAGTTTTATTTTTTTATGTCACGCCATCCAAAACTATACTCAACACTGAGACCTAATGTGATATGATTTTATAAGGTTATGGATGTGTTATATCCGATATTTTGATTTATGGGTGATTTTGAAATTCGACGACATGGAACATAAAAGTGAACATTTTCTTTATCCCATGTAAATAGTTAATATGGGCAGATTGTCGTGAAGGCCGCCTACATTAACTGGGTGCCAATGCAAACATCGTAAAAATGGCACAACACGTGTGGTCAAATAATTTACTCGGGCAGTACTTCTCTATGTCTGCTCAGGTAATAAAGTATTTTTCCTTTATAAAATAATCTCCATAAACTTAAAAATCTTGTAGAAATTTGAATTTAGATCCGATTGACACGGTGAGCACTTCTACGTGATCCTTGCGGTATTCCCTAGCTTTAAAACGGCATGCTAACAACTTGTCATGGCTACCTCTTTTTTCATTTGGTTCTTCACGGGCACCGGAATTTCCGTATGCCATTAGCTGCAGTTGGAGCAAAAAACACCCATGCAAATAGCACATGGCCTTAGACGCCATCCAACGTCTAGAGATGGTGCAAAAGCAAAGGCAACTTACCTCCACCGAGCTGAGCCTAAGAACCGCCCTAAAACACAGGCTGCTAGGGCTGGCAGTAATCGAAAGAGCAAGGAAAAGACATGCCTCAAGAATCACCAACATCAAAGAAGAGGGCACCAATACCAGGTTTTTTCACTTAAAGGTTAACGCGAGGAGATGAAAGAACCACATCCATTGTTTTCACACAAGGCGGATGGGCGGTGACGCACGAGGAAAAAGAGCGAAATGATATTTGATCACTTCTAGGGGATAATTGGAAGACCTAGTCCAAGACAACGGAGTTGAATTGGGAAGCCCAAGAGATTCAGCCCTCGATGGACCTTGCTGTCCAATCTGAACCATTCACTGAAGAGGGGATTTGGAAAGCCATAAATGCAATGCAGTAGACAAAGCTCCTGGACCCGACGGCTTCACGGTCAATTTCTTCAAAACCTGCTGGGGCATAGTAAAGCTTCACTCCATCCATGATCAGAGATGCAATGATCTAAACCTTCTCAACTCGGCTAATACTGTTCTATTACCAAAAAAGGAAGGCGTGGAGAGTAGCACCGACAATAGGCCAATAAGCCTCATACACAGCATTGTGAAAATTCTCTTCAAGGTGCTAGCCCTGCGACTTCACCTGGTCATGCAATCCCTAATCTCGGTCAACCAAAGCGCTTTCAACCGTGGCAGGAGCATCCACGATAACTTCCATTATGTACAGAACATGGTGAGAAGATGCCATCGCAACAAGAGCCCAACTCTATTCTTCAAGCTAGACATTTCCAAGGCATTCGACTCTGTGTGTTAGGCTTATCTGTTGGCTCTTCTACAACAGTGGGGCTTCCCGCAGAAATGGAGGGATTGGGTCGCAGCCCTCCTCTCAACCTCTTGCTCCAAGATACTCCTCAATGGGGTCCCAGGAAGTAAAACATGTCATGGGTGTGGACTACGGCAAGGAGACCCATTATCCCCGCTTTTCTTTATTCTAGCAATCAGCCCACTACATGCCTTCTGCCCGAAGCCACATACCTCAATTTGCTCAGCAAGCTTAGGGCTAGGGTCGGTCACCATGCCTCTGAATCTCAATGTACACCAACGACGCAACGGTCTTCATCAACCCAAAGAAGGACGATGTAGATGCATTCGCTGGCCTCTGTGAATGCTTCGGACAAGCAACAGGGCTATGCACCAACATACAAAAATCTCAGGTGAAGCCAATTAGGTGTGCCAGCATAGACCTCGACGACTTGTTGGAAAGCACGCCGACGACCAGAGCAAGCTTCCCAATGAAATACCTAGGGCTCTCCCTAGCCATGACAAGGCTACACAAGGCAGACCTCCAGCCACTTTTTGACAAATCCGCAAGACACCTAGTAGGCTAGCGAGGAAGAAACATAGGGATAGGGGGGGAGGGGAATAACACTAGTCAAGTCAATCCTCACGTCAGCAACCTGTCTACTCTGGACAACTCTAAAAGTTACGAAGGAATCCCTTGAGGTGCTTGACAAACAGAGGAAACGGTTCCTTTGTGCAGGGGCCGATAACATCACAGGCGAAAAATGCAGGGCCAACTGGGCAAGAACTTGTATGCCAACAGCTTATGAAGGGCTAGGGGTGTTCAACCTAGAAAAGTTTGCACGAGCGCTGAGGGTAAGATGGCTATGGCATGAGTGGAAGGCCCCAAATCAAGGAGAAAGCCAAAACTTGGGTCTCAGCAGGAGCAAAACACCTTGCGCTTTTAATTCCTTAGGCTTTGCCATTTTTTACAGTTCTTTATTTCTTGTAAATGTAACATTTACTCCTGTGCTGGTTCGTTAAAAAAAGGTATTTAAGGATAATTCGGTTATAATATAACCACGGTCATCTTTGCAAACTTTATTACTACCACAACCATACCGATAGTCCACATCGTAGGCTCGCAGCTCGATGAGAACTGAACTTGGCTCAATTACAACTTATACAATAGCTCACCACACCATACAGCTCGATCGATTAGCTTAGATGGTGTTTGGGTGGGAGGGGCTAAACAAAAGCATAAGTCTCTAGAGGAGAGACTTATGTTTTTGTGAGAGGGACTAAAATAAGTCCCTCCCCTCCCAAACACCACCTTAATTAGCTGCGCACAACAACACAGTGAATTAATTAGTAGTTACTAATTGATTGATTCCACGTAGGGAGTTGGACAGCCTCATGCAAAATTCCCACAGGATCAATCAATGGTGCTGAGGATCGGGCCCCCCGGGGCTCGACCTCTTCGACTCGGAGTACGGCATCGCCGCCGCCACCGCCGTCTGCGAGCTGATCGTAGTGGCAGTGTTGCTCCCGGCGACGACGAGCATTCTCCGCCCGGTGATCACGGCCAGCTGGAGCTGCACATGATCATGATCAGGCTCGCCGCGCGAGACGGCGGCGGACATGACGACGAGCAGCAGCATCAGCACGACGGCGGCGCGCACCAGCGGCGACCTCAATGTGCTGGATGAGGAGTAGGCCATGGAAAAAGCTAGAGGTCTTCTTCTTCGTCTAATCTCCTAGCTTAGCTTAGCTTGAGAGTGAGCTAGCTGTGTTCTCAGGCGCAGGTTGCAATGGCATGCATGGTGCTGAATTTATAGCTAAGCTAAGCTGATCGAGATTCGAGGGGCAGTTTCCGGCCGTTACCGTGAGCACTATCGAGCTAGCGACAGGTGTAGAGAGTGATGGGTGGTGGTGATATACCGGAAGTGGATTTTTGTCCCTAGAGGAGACATTCCCTCGTTTTGTGCATAATGTTTAAATAGTTATTAAAAAAATTTAAAAAAATTGTCAAGATATAGATTAATATATGATATATCTTTTCGCAAACATGTAAGTTAAAATTCGACTTATACGATTCGAAACAAAAATAATAAATTTGACTGTGAATTACGCTTTCTATTCATAGTCAAATTTTTTGTTTTTGTTTCTGCTTGTATAAGTTGAATTTGAATATGCATGTTTGTGAAATTTTTTCAATTTTTTTTATGACTCTTTAAGTGACAAGTAAAAACGAGGGGATATCCCCTTAAGGATGAATAGAGTTTTCCGTGATATACCTCTGTGGCGCACTGATCTCTGCCATTCATGTCGACGATGCATGCATATGACCTCACACACAAAAACGGCTCAACTTTTCATTTTTAATTCTGCCTTAACAAGGCAGTGCAAAACTGTGATCCAATACAAAATCCAATGCTATGCATGCTGAGATATGATCGATTAATGCCATTATCATTTCTGTTGCATAGTGATCACAATAACTTAAGACATGGATGCATGCATGGTCCCTTCTTGATATATAGTAAGATTTTTAGGGGGAAATTTTATGAGCATGTTGCACGTTTTAGTGGGCACTGGCGGTTGTTTAGTTTTGTTTGGACAAAAAAGGAAAAAAAAAAACACACCAGGCCGTTAGCCAAAGCAACTGCCATTTATCGTTATGAAATGGCCACTATATATATCTATATATGTTCATTAATTCATAAGCTAGCCAAGTCAGCTCACACGAATCAGCAAGCACCGTGATCTTCAGCCGGATCTCATTTGCTTCTGGTTGCCACAAGCATCGATCATCAACTTTTAAATACATACTCCCTCCGTCTCTAAATATTTAACGCCGTTGACTTTTTCAAACATATTTAACCGTTCATCTTATTCAAAAACTTTTGTAAAAGATGTAAAACTATATGTATACATAAAAGTATATTTAACAATAAATCAAATGATATGAAAAGAATTAATAATTACTTAAATTTTTTGAATAAGACGAACGGTTAAACATGTTTGAAAAAGTCAACGGAGTCAAATATTTAAGGACGGAGGGGGTAATGGAGTATATTGATATATATACTTGATCTTTATTACTCTCTTCATGCCCATTTGTCAACGTATAAATTATACAAGTTCCTCCACGTACAAATCCACTTTCAAGGAGTACCTGCAGTACACAAAAAAGGCCTTGTTAAAAGCCAAATAAAGGCATAACTAACCAACCTATGTGGCCATATATAGGTGAACATGCATGTAGGTGATAGATCAGAGAGTACAATATGCAGTACACACACATTCAGTTACCTAGTTGGCCTCTTCTTCCTTAATTTTTCCCTTTAAATTTTCAGAGACCCATATATGCATCTCCGTGTCATTTTCCACTGGTCACAAACGGAAGCAATGGGCGTACGCGAGGCCGCCATTAATCGCGTGTGTGTTCTAGCTATATTTCTTCTTTTGCTCAACCACCGGGCTGCTCCAATGGCGGCCGGCCCAGGAGGACCCCATGGCTCTGTGGCCACGAACTTCACCTGCCATTGGAGGCTTTAAGCTCGTCGACGACGACGACCCTGAGGGCGACGAGCAGCCACGGTTTGCTGCATGCGGCGCAAGGAAGAATGATGAATGCACACAATGGGAAAGTACTCTGTTTTCTATTTATCTCTCAAGGGGACATCCTTTTTGTTTTTTCCATGCCGCCTAAGAAGTCAGAAAAAAAATTCTGAATTTTGTTGGCAAGGTATATCGATATGTTTATATCACACTATAAATATGCAAGTTTAAATTCAAAAGTAGAAAAAAAGTTATAAATCATTATTCGTAGTTAAATTTATTGTCTCTGTTTCTACCTGTGTAAGTCAGATTTAAATTTGCATGTTTATATAGTAATATAATGCATACTTGATACTTCCTTCGTTTCAAAATGTAACTATTTCTAACTACGAATTTGAACATGGCTCCATCCAAATAGCTATATGTTGGGATGGGAGGGAGTATTCATCTATTATAATTCTATAGGAGGACGACATGCGCAAATGGAGGACGTCTCCTGGAGGGGGAAAAACCATCCACATAATTCTTTGGTCCCAACTCACAATGGGAGATGATAGTAAGAATGTGTAGTACACCGAGCTAGTTACATGCATGCATCCGGGAGACATGATGGTATAAAGAAACCCGGCAGCCAAATGTGTTTAATTTCACACTGAAACTCAGCAGCCAAATGTGTTTAATTCCACACCGATATAAGATTGGGCCAGTAGCATGTGTCGGCAAACATTTTAATTGCATTTACAAACTCGCAGCTTGAGCTGTATAATAATCCCAGGAGGGAATGTGCCTAACAACTAATGACAGTATTTATCACCCCCAGCTCACAAAAGTTGCCAAAATGATCCTGTGAGTCATCTGAAGGCCGTCAGGTTTTATTTCTGACTTCTGAGTCGGAACCGATTCTGTACTTCTGTATGCGTAATGCTGCACTATCTATCCAACTTTGTAAATTACAGCCACTTTCTGATGGATGTTGTTACCATGTTATCAATAGCAACCCAGGGAAGTGGAAACTGGAAAAAGAATTGACATTCATACAGCTAGGAACAGCAGGAGGGTAAGATAGTGAGTGCTACTCTGGGAGGAAAGGCAGCCTGCTGACACCGTTCTGTTTATAGTCCATGTCATCTGAATTGTCTGAATCTGTGAGCTCAGTTGCAGCTTCTTGCTTGACAGACTTGCCGCCTTCTTCCACGCCTACGAATTGCGGAAGAATTCTGAGGCATGCGTTTGGCTCCTGGCCTATAGATTCCCACTTGAGCTTGAAACTTTCGACTAGATCCACCTGGGAAGCGATGATGCTTGGTGGTCTGGGCAGTAGCTGCACGCTTTCACCTTTTGGGATCACTACTTGCTCGATTGCCAATCTAGCTTCCTGGCAACAGGAGATGATTGTTTATGTTATTCATGAAGGTGTTGATCAGAATAGGTCAAAACTGCTATAGCAATGGCAGGAGAGATAATGTAAAGGAAAATGGTAATCATACCTCCAAAGCATCAGTTTCCTCCGAAGATCTCACTTCAGTATCTTCAAAATCCATCAACCCATCCGTGTGATCATCAACAAGGGCACGAAGTGCCCTTCTGATTTGCACCAGGGAGTTTGTCTATACAAATAGTTAGCCAATATCAACATTCTGTCACATCAACAATTAACAGTGCCATGAAAATTAACAATGCTCTATACAAACCTTGGTGAAAAAAACAGGTATATCTTGAGACTTCACAACAGCCTGAATCTGGGTATTCTTCTTGAGCTTCGATTGCAATGCAATCACTGCATCAGCTTCACTGATGTTATAAGTCAAGGTTACAATGTCCTCCAGCTCCAGCTGTTTAATGGCTTGCAAGGCAGTCGACTCCGAGATCTAGAATAGCCTATCCAATAAGTTACAAACTAAGTATAGGAAACTTAATAAAGAGTTGACAGTGCGTGAAATTCAGCAGTCATCCGATGATAAGAGATATCCAACCAAACAAAGGAAGGAAGTTGCAAACTTGGAGGCTTCACAACGTAAGCCATGAAACAACTTCTCTTCCCTCACCACTCCAACAATAACAGCCCACAGCTACACTTACTAAACAAGAACTAACAGGGTTTTGTTTAGGTGTACAAGGCTTAATTAATGCCTTGGAGGTTTGGTAGCTCACCATTACTTCAATGTGCCATACCTAAAAGCTGTAAATATATTAAGCCATACAGCACAGTTCATACCAAATAATGCAAAATAAAGCACAAGTCCAGGCAAAACCTTGAGCAAACAAATGAAAAGCTGAAGTACGAGAGAGGGGGTGGGTGTGGGGGGTATTGAAGAAATGCATACCCCATAAGCATATAGATTGAGGTCTGGTTCAGCTTCAGTTGATCTCCCTATATGCCCTTCAGCAGGATCAAGATTAAATGCCGAGTCTAAGCTTCTTCTTGCATTGCTCAAAGAATCAGTGTCCAATTGAGTTGCACCTTCAGAAGGACCAAGATCCAACCGTTCCTTTTGCACATAAACTTCCTGTACTGGCCCCTTTGAACCAACTTTACGAATTTCAACATTAGGCATTTTGCCTGCACCAACCAAATCGGACTAAATCATGCTGATATTGGAGTTACACGTTTTATATAAGATATTGTAGCATCATATCTAACATGATAATGCAGCTTACTAATGCCATAATAAATGAGAACCTGCAAGCAGAGCATCTACAGTATCTTCCAAACTACGATGGACGCGCAATTCAATTTTGGAGACAATCTCCGCAGCACATGTAAAAGTCGATGGACCCTTGCGCTCTAGGACAGTTTTCTGGACCCCTCTTCGATTAGCTTCTTCATCACCAAGGGTGACGCTCTTTCATAAAAAGAAAGCATATTGTAAGAGATCTCCATGACAGAAATGGCAGGTACAGAAATTCAGAAAGCACATGAAAGAACATTAGATGCTTCTGTGTATTCCCAATGAAAGCTGAATAGATGCTATAACAGTTAGTTTCTGAATTGCCCTTAACCATTGCTTTAAATATGCATAGTCTTCGATTAAAAAGCATAGAAGCAACCTTCAACAAGCAAAACATAGTAACTAAAAATTTACAAGCCTACTTGGAACAGTCACGATGAACCATTAACCAATGGTGGAAGGGAAGCAGGACTGCAACTTGATTTAATACTCGTATACAATTACATAGTTTGCAGTAAGATTTCGCTGGCTCTTCCATTCTGTATAAGTTAAATAACTGTTTTTGGAAACACACCCTTGTTAACATCAACAAGCAAGCTGGAGTATACTGATGATCAATATCACAATCTTTCCATGTGTGATACTATCTCACTTTATCTCTCATATGGGATAATTTGAACGCACAGATAAACTACATGGTAGAGACTACAGACAGGAACATAATAGCACACTACCTCAGAATTGATTCAGTATTGCAAAGATACTTAGGAAAATAAAGAGCATGTTTCTAGGTGACTAAGATTTGGCGATCAGCATGTTCAATTTGACATATTAATACATAACTATTCTAGCTACATTGCATAGAATAAAATGCAGCATATCATTACCTGCACACCTCCTACAAGCATATCTAGTGATGGATTCATGATCAGATTCTCTATTGTTATTCCATGGGCAGTGGCAACAAGTTGTATCCCCCGTTGTGCAATGGTGCTAGCAGCCATAGCCTCTAGCTTCGTTCCAATTTCATCGATGACTATTGCCTGGGGCATGTGGTTTTCCACAGCTTCTATCAATACCTGATTGAGATTGAGAGAAAAAAAAAACAAATAAGCACAAATAGACATTGGTGTGTTAAAAAGAGCTTCAATTATCAATTCACATGTAATTGGTTTGGCATATATACGATCACGGACCTTATGCTGCATATCTTGGTTAGGCACTTGTAACCTGCGGGCATTGCCTATTCCTGGGTGAGGAATATCTCCATCTCCACCTATCTCATTGGATGTGTCAACAATCATCACCCTCTTCCTATAATCATCAGCTAGCATTCGAGCGATTTCTCTGCAAGTCAAGGCAAGCAACTTGTTGCTACACTAACACTGATACATTTCTCGATCACAATTAACAAATGCACAACTCTCCCGATTTACATCGGAATCAAAATCAATACTCGTCAGTCCAAACCTACCTTATGACAGTCGTCTTCCCCACACCCGGTGGACCGATGAGCAGCAATGACCCACCATCCTTCACCAAATCCTGCAGCAAATTAGCACTTCCAGGCACGGCACGCCCAACCCGGCAAGTGAGGCCTATGATGGCGCCCTTCCGGTTGCGAATCGCGCTGATCCGGTGCAGCGTCCGGCTAATTCCAGCTCGATTGTCCGCTCCGAAATCCCCAACCTAGCACAATGCGAATCACCAATTCACCATAAGCAAATGCTGCTAAATTCACCATGAGACTAAGTCTAGCGATCGGGATCAACCTGGGAGGTGGCGTGGCGGAGGTCGTCGAAGGAGATGGGGCTCTGCGAGAGGAGGAAGTCGCCGGAGGGGAAGCGGGCGAGCGGCGGGCGGCCGAGGTCCATGACCACCTCCACCAGCGCCGGGAGCTCCGGGTGCCCCTCCACCCGCCGCCTCAGCTCCCCGGGGAGCAACTCCAGCAGCCTCCGCATCTCCTCCTCGGGCCCCTCCCCACCTCCCCGCGCCGCGCGCGGTGGGGCCCCCAACCGGCGGCGCCGACCGACGGAGAGGAGGGGGCAAACGGCTATCCGGCGGGGAGCAGCGGAGCGGAATCCATAGGGCGCGCGGCGGGGGAAGTGGAGCGGGAGGGGTGGGACGAGGGAGACGCCGAGGTGCATCGCCGGCGACGGCGGCGGCGGCGGCGGCGGCGAGCACTCGAGTGGAGGGAAAGAGCGCGAGAGCCCAGCGTTTCGGCTTTCCTATCGCTTAGGTTGACACGTGGCGGATTTAGATCCGTTCGATCTATCCACCTGGGGGAGATCTAACGGTCAGGATCAAACTATAGTTTTGTTCTGTTCGTCCTCAACGTGGAGTAGTGGCGCTTGTGCTTCCACGTCGCCACCAACCATGGCGATGGCCACCTACCTCGCACCATGACGTCATCCAACCTCCTCCTCCTCCGCTTAAACGCGTAGCCTCCATTGCTCTCCTCCTCCTCCCCACCATGGAGTCGTCGCCGCCGCCGCCGCCGCAGATGCGTGTGCGCGTCATGGAGACCGTGCACCTGCGTCCGCCTCCGGCGGATGACGCGGCGTCGTTCGCGCTGTCCGGGCTGGACACGGACCGCAACGTGCTCGACGTGACGTTCCGCACGCTGCGCTTCTTCCCGCCGCCGTCGCTCGAGCTCGACCCGCTCGCCGTCCTCCCGCGCGCGTTCGCCGCCGCCCTGGGCATGTTCGTCCCGCTCGCCGGGAGGATTGGGGACGGAGGGCGCGTCGTCTGGTCGGCCGCCGACGCCGTGCCCCTTGTTCTCGCCGCGGCGGACGACGTGTCGGTGGCCGACGTCGACACCGACAGCCCGGGCTCCGATTTGCTGGAGCGGCTCGTGCCGGGGGACGGCGACGGCGACGGCGTGGCGGGGTCACCGGCGCTCGCGCTCCAGGTTACGCGGTTCGCCTGCGGCGGCGTCGCGCTGGGGATGCGGGTGGCGCACGCGCTCTGCGACGGCGCCGGCGCCACCAAGTTCCTCTCCGCCGCGGCGCGGTTCGCGCGCGGGGCGCAGGAGCCGGCGGCGGTGGCGCCGGTGTGGGAGCGGGAGGACCGTCTCGGCCCGAGGCGTCCGCCGCGCGTGGTGAAGCCGTTCGAACGCGTCCTCTCGCTCGACGACGCCGCCGCCGCGGTGCACGGACCGTACGGCGCGGCCGGCGACGCACAAGGACAGATCGCGAGGGAGTGCTTCCACGTGAGCGACGCGCGCGTGGAGGAGCTCAGGGCGCAGCTCGCCGGCGAGGCCGGCATCAAGCTCACAACGTTCGAGTTCCTCGCCGCGTTCATCTGGCGCGCCAGGTTACACTGATCCCGTCGAACACCTGGGACAACAAGGTGATTTTATCTCCTCTCGTTTAACTCCGCCATGGAATCGGTGATCGAGCAGGACGAAAGCCAGAAGGACGAGCCCCGACGAGGTCGTGAAGATGGTGTACTCCATGAACATCAGCAAGCTCCTCACGCCGCCTCTCCCGGACGGCTACTGGGGCAACGTGTGCGTCCCAGTGTACGTCGCCCTCACCGCCGGCGAGCTCGTCGCCCAGCCGCTCGCGGACACAGCCGCCATGGTCAAGAAGAGCAAGCAGGAGGTGGACGACGAGTACGTCCGATCCTACATCGACTTCCACGAGCTCCACCGCGGCGGCGGCGTCACGGCGGGGCGCGGCGTGAGCGCGTTCACCGACTGGCGCCGCCTCGGCCACTCGGAGGTGGACTTCGGGTGGGGCTCGCCGGCGGCCGTGCTGCCGCTCTCGTGGAGGCTGCTCGGGAGCACGGAGCCGTGCTTCTTCGTGCCGTACGGCGCAGCCGACGAGAGGCGGCGGCGCGGGTTCAAGGTGTTCGTCGCGGTGCCGGCGATGGCGACGCACTGCTTCAGAGAGGAGATGCAGGAGCTATCGTTGCAACGCCATTGCCTGCGTTCGAAAGAGAAGCTGTAAATTTCACACGAAAACAGTCCGTTCAAATTCAAAATGGATAGTACTCATTCAAATAAAGATCTTCATACACATTTCCGAACCGCAATGGGAGTGAATCCTGTTTGGATGGGCCAAAAAATAAAATGGTCGATCAAGAAATTTGAAATTTCCAACTCCGAATCCGATAAGAAATCAAACACCCCTGTGTACTGTTGGCGCATATATACCGGCACGGCTCTTCTCGATCACCTCAACCCAGTTGAGAGATCACCTCGAGATCATCGAGCGAGCCTGATCGATTCGAGATCAAGATCATGACGCGCGGTGGCAGAGGAGGTTAGTTATTGCCTTCAATTTCAGTTTCGCTACATGTTCCTCACCTTCCCTTGATCTCTTGACAGTATCATGATCTTGGGGACTAATTTGGTTTTTTTCTCTTTTTTTTCTGTTCGATAGAGGATGACAATGAGGTGGATTCATGGGTGAAGAAAGAATCTGAATGGGAGGAAGCAGGAGATGGAGAGGAAGACGATTATTCAGACGAAACCGAATATGATGATGATGATGATGAATCTTCAGATGAAGACAACGATTACTTCTCAATGGAAAATCGGGATGTCCGCTTCGCTTCGGAGGAGAAGTGGGAGAGCCAAATCATGGAACAGATGAAATTCTCTGTCTCCACTGCTGATCCATTTGATATCAGGACGATTTGGAAGGGGTCTCTGCACGTCGACGGGCCGTGCCAATCTCTCGATCCAAACCTCTTATCTATGAACAATTTCAGTAAGTTCATCGTTTCACATACCAATCTTTTTCAAGAAAAGAAAAAAATATTTAACTTTATATGTTCTTGAACTTTACCATATTTACTGGTTATTTCTGCTGCAGTGCCTCAGTTACCACTGAGAATGAAGAAGAAGAATAATGAGGAGCCTTGCCGTCGAGCCATCCAGGTGTTTGGTCTGACTGTATCTTCTCCTGACAATGTTGTTCAGGAGATCTATGGTATGTTTGCATTCAGAGATATACGAAACAGCCAAGAACGCAATTTCATCTTTGAATACCCAAGAGACAGACCATTTACACTTAAGCCGGTGAGCACTTTATCAACTCTTCTTTTTTTATGCAATCGTTTTAATTAGTTTATTCCTTAAGCATTCAAGTTTTTATCTCACAGGTGTAACTCTATATCATACATATATATGCAGGGTTCTGATAAGGTGCAACCCCTGATTCAGCCTCCTCGCGGCATTTACGCAATAGGGCCAGTGGTAATGGAGTATCACCTAATGATCAAAGGTCAAGAAGAACAAGAAGATAGAGTATTGGTAGATGGTTACTCCATCTACTGTCCATCTTTCTACAAAGAACGTTCAAGGTTCCACTGGCACATTGACACTGGCCACTGTGGTGCCATTGATCTGAAGATGGCTGCTGTACCAAACGCCGTGCTGGCCACAGTGGAGATCGAGGTGATTCGTCTCGGAGGAACTCACTACGATTCGCTTGCCATTGTTGTCGCATTATCGATAATCAAGGGTATGTATTTGGTTTTCGATGGCAAGGTTAGCGTAGGCAAGCTACTGCCTTTCACGGTGTGCATCAACAGAGAGATGCATCTGAAGCTGTTCGTGTACGGCTACTCCAGTAGTCAGATTGGACATGGCGATTGCTCTCCAGATGGTGTTGTTAGTGATTACGACAATGATGGGTTCTTCTCCGCAAGCGAGGATGTTTATTACGACGTTTTGAATTTCATACCACAGTTTGGAACCTATAAGAAAATGTCACACAATCTTGAAGATATGGACGTGTCTGTGACGGTAACCTGGTCTAGCTTGTATTAGTACAGATAAAGTGAGGATTATATTTTATGTTCTTGTCATAAACAATTACTGTAAATATGTGGAAGAACAATGTCAGGGAAGAATGGCGGAGTCGTTAACACTCATCTTTTTATTTGATATATGGACCTGCAGCCGCGGCTGCAAAGACATGAAGGGATGGCAGCATACTTATGTTTATAACTGAATAGATTAATAGATCCAAAGAAAAGTTTAATCAAAATAATAATAATAATAATAAGCCAACATGGCCAATATGAGGCTAACTACCCAGGTAAAGCTCACCTAATTTTACCATTCGTTGTGAAGTCATTAACAAAAGAAGGAACTTTTAACTGTTGTTCCAACAAAACCCTTCCCTTCAATTCAAACATATAGGCAGGCACATCACAAGTCATATTACAACAGCACAACAATGAATCCTAGTCCTAATCAAAGCCACTCTCATCAGATGTGTGCAACCTCTCAACCAAATACATTCTACATTGGTCACTTGTTTGTTCCATGTCACTGTAAAAAACAAAAAGAAGAGAGAAACAAAGAGTGGGGAGAAAAAACAAAAGTGAACTTCACAAGATGTATCATACAATGAGCGGTAACCATTTCGCGGCGAATTTTACACACTGAGCGAAGGAACCTCTAGTTGTTGTTGCTTCTTCTGTTGGCCCCCTTTCATGTCCTTGGGCTTTGCCTTTGGAGGACCAGCTGCCTTTGCCTTCTGCACCCTTGCTACCGGTTTCTTTTGATCAGGAGGAGATGGTGTTACGGTTTTCTTATGATCAGGAGGAGACAGTGCTACCGGTTTCTTCTGATCAGGAGGAGATGCTGCTACCGGTTTCTTCTGATCAGGGGGAGATGGTGATGACTTCTTCTTAGGGGCTTTTCGATCATTGATGTTGTTGCTTAGACTGATTGAGCCTTGCAGCTTCAGAGCTGATGGGTTTGTGCTGGCATTTTCCTTCTTTGCCTGTCCTTTCTTCAGGTTTTCGGGGTGGACCAGTGATCGGGGCTCCCATGGCCGTGCCGCTATCCATCGGTCCATCCAGCTCCAACCCCAGCCACCCTTGCCAACTTCATAGTTGAAGTTTCCAAGACTTGTGGCAGACCTTGCTCTCCACTGAAAATGTGCAGAATGAATATGCCGATTACTATGTTGAGTTTATACATAGAGAAATGAGCATAGTGCTAGTCTGAATTAACTAGTAAGTAGCATGGAAAGAAACTATTCCTAAGGGGAAAAGACATGATGAAAATTAGCTTAGGAGTCTCTGTCATATATAAGATCAAAATCATAGATATAATGTGCTGCAATACGTAGGATTCTTTTAAAGGAATGAACAATGAATGAAGTTGTAACACCTGAATCAATTGTTAGTACCTGATGATTGAATGCATATGCCATAGCTCGTTCACGCTTTACTGCGGCTTCTTCCCTTTGTTGGATCCTCCCAAGTATTTCCTCCATAGTATCCGAGCCTCCATTCCACTCGACCTGTTAAAACATGCCGATGCCAAAAGGAAATGCAATGTCAAAGAACATTAGTATTCTTTTACTAGTAAATTTAATATTATTAATACAAAATATAGTTGATTTGTTTAATCAGTTAAAGGATTAAGGGTAGGTTATGACCAAAAAAATCCCAACAATAATTAGGTAGGCAGAAAAATTTACAAGGAATGGTGGTCCTTTAGGAGAAATTCACCTGCAAATTTTGGAGTTTTGCTTCAAGTTTCATTTGATTTTCTTGCTTCTTCTTCCTATTGCGCCCTTCAGTGACCATGAAGGCACGCCGGTTTCTTATCTCTGCCTGCAACTTGTTCCAAGACTGTATGTAGTTCAATGTGGCAGCTGTCTGCTTGTTAACTGGATTGGTCTGCCCAATAATGTGCAATCTTTTAACCCCCTTGAGACATCTGAGAGTTTTCTTTGCCTGCATTTGAGTGACGAAACGGCAAGAAATGATGTGCCAATTTCTTAGCAACCGAAAACTCATGTGGTAGCCAAAATGAAGGAAACAATTCAAATCAATGTTACCTTGTAGCATCTAAAGGCATTTTGAATTCGAGTAGCTGCCCATTCCTCTAGTGCTGCATTGTCTTCAGGGTCACTACTAGAGGAAGGACCATTATTAGACTTTTGATTTGTTGAGTTTGGCCCATTGGGTACCTGACCGGCAACCTTCAATGCCAAAGCAAAATAGAGGAAAATAGTTGGTCAATTTGACGTTTAGTTCATCTAAGTAAATGTACAGATGTCCTAAGCCATAATGTAATCATTTAAATACAAAGGGCAGAAGCTATGCCATTTCAATAAGAGGCAGTTTAAAGGTACAAGAAGTACAATCAGATTATGTTTATGCACTGTAGCCGGTAAGACAATCCCACGGAAAGAAAAACTACACTAGTACTACAAGAAAGAAGCTGAGAGATAATTAGGCCAGATTCTGTCTGTAAATCGATGTACAAAAAAAAAAGCTACCAAGGAGATCAATTCAACAGTCAAATTACTTTGACTGACCAGTCCATGTTCAAAAGTGACTGGTTGACTGCTGAACATATAACATGGACAGAGCATAACAAAGATCTCTGAATTTATGTGACTAAATTAACAAAATGCTTACTCAATGAGAACTTTGTTTTCTTTTTTCTGGGTGGGGGTGGGGATGGGGGTAACTTAACACATCTTCTGCAGTAACATAGAAGAGAACAGGCAACAGTGGCAATGCCAAAACATTTCCAATTTTCAAACCATAAAACATAAAAAAAATTATCGACACAGAATTCAGCTTCTCAAAGAACCTTTTATATGTGTACCATGCAAATTTACAATGACAAATTCAGATGTCCTGTTGTCAGTAGGTGGGGACAGTTAATTAGCAGTAGCTCACCAATACACCAAAGATGCAGAAGGTTGTACTACTACTCTAAAAGGTATACCTAACTCACACATACTACTGTTCTGCAAGTCAGCATCCAAGGTACCCCATAATTGATTGCTAGTATGTACAAATCAAGCTTTTCCCATCAGCCAACTTTCTCTTATGATGACCGCAACCAACAAAGACAATCAAGTAGCAGCACAGAGAGGCTGTCCTGGCCCTTCTTAATGATGGGATGGAATTGCATTGTATGGCATCCTTTTCAGGTTGCTTAGAAGGCATGCAAGGCTATGTGTACATGACCATTCAACTTTCAGGAGGGACTTGGAAGTTGTGAAAAAAAAAATCAGCTTTTTTTGGAGTACATAGAAGGCACATACTCCACATCACGGATACAAATCATCTGCGGTACTGCATGTGTCACTGACATGTGGGTCCCACCTGCTCCGGGCCCACATGTCAGAGGCACCAACTGCATGTGCATTACAGCCGAGGATCCCCACTCACCAACGGTACATCTCTAACCCTACTAAATTCTTACTAAATTCTCGCGTGTGCGTAATATTTATGGACATGAGGATTTGATTTTTGGAAACAGTGACAGAAATAAGGGGGTTAATGGATGGATGGAGTGGATACCTTTGCGTGTTTTGACTTGCCACGTTTAGACTTCTTCTTGCTGATGATCGTCTTGAACCAGTCCCCAGACCCCATGGCTTCAATCAGAGTGAGCCTCACAGATTAATCCTTGTCCAACCCCCTTGCTTAGATCACAGAAAAAAATCATTAAAAAAACAGGGTTAATTTTGTTTTTAAGTATAAGATGGTGCAACATGCCGAAATAAAAAATTACACCTGATGAACCAAGTTTATTGGCTCATTCTGAATCTCTCTGAGTGTTCATTAACCAAATCAAAATTTACATGGAGAAAAGAAGCAAATCCTAATATTTCTGTCAATTGACAGAAACATGAGAAGCAAGCATGAGAAATGAACCCTTGTTTTTGTTTCTATCCTGAAGTCTTCTCGAATCAAATATGAATGATTCCCCAAAACAATTCGACTAAAATCAAACAACAAAAGGCAATAAACCGGAAGCCAAGAATCAGCTCAAATCTTACAGAACTGACAGGGCTCAAGCTTCAGACTTCCTTCCTATAACCTTAGCCAAGAAACCAAGAACACCCAGAGAGTCAACCCCATGGCTCATCCATCCCTCTGCTCATCATCCATGGCAGATGAACAAGTATTATCTTCTCCCTCCAAAACCCAGAGCACAAGAACACCAGAGGAGCCAAGCCAAGAACTCTGAAGAAACACACAGATAAACATGATGCAGCTGAGCAGTGACTAAGTACCTGAGCTTCAGAAGGTTGCAGTGTTGGCAATCTGAATCTGATCAGAAGTTGCTCTCAGAAAGAGAACGGGAGACAGCAGCTCAGGAAAGGAAGACATCCATTGGAAGCAATGGATCTCTCTCTCTCTCTCTCCTCAACCTTTGAGAGAAGAAGAAGAGAGAGAAAGAGAGAGAGGTGGGAGAGAAGGTGGAAAGGTGAAGAGGCTGGAGTTAGATATAAGTCCAGATCAAGTCCTTTGTCTAATTGCTCCCAAGTTGTTTTCTTTAATCCTTCTTTGCCTCCCTCCTCGGCCAGCCACTGATGACTTTAATTACTGGACTTTTTAATTACAGTGCGGTTGCTAATGATCTTGCTTAGCAGTGGGAGTTACTGTCCCTTAATCTCGCTGGCGATCTTGTTGCCATTAAAAATGGAGACAAGGAGTTACTTCTTTGTTGACTTGTATGGAGATCCACTTGCTCAGAGAATCCACAATTTGCAGTGTGCAACATTTTTTATAGCTCATCTTCAGCAGTCAGCACAGTGAAATCGTGGTAGTACTGAAATCACACACAAACTGTCGAGTTAATAACAGAAACAAAATTAATCTTGCCGTCTCATTTCGTTGTTTTCGAGTAACAGTACCTTTTCACATAGACTTGGGGTGGTCCCGGGACCACCCAAAAAATTCCTAACCCAATGTATATATATATACATATGCAAAAGAACTTTTGAAAAAAAAAAGAAAACAAAGTTCTTTTATTAATATATTATGATGTACATTTGATCAATTTATATTTCTAACTTTGTTATATTTAGAGTATTTAAAATAGTTATATAAGTTGAACCACCTATATAAAAATCCTAGACATGCTACTGCTTTTTCCGAGCGATTAAGAGTGTACCATACTTAAATAAGTATCATGAGTTATACTATACTTTCTAACTTAAAAATTCGTATGCTAGAAATTAGGATGAAAAAATTTACAAAAAAAAAACTTTGACAACTCTTAAAGACAGTAAAAAAAATTATTGTTTCTATACTACATAAAAAAATCCGAAAATCTTCTTGTCTGCCCCAGTAAGAAAACGGTTGCGCGTTATTGCACTAACACGCGACGGAGCATGAAAACGTATGCGTGTCTACGGAAGCGCAATATTAAAATTCACGAATTACCTCTCGAACTTCTCGATATTAAAAATTAATTTAATCTTAATAAATAGGCACATATAAAATCAAATTAAGGTTAATATTCCGTATAAAGAAGATAAATAACACATTTCATACAAAATATATTCGTATTTGTTTTAGATAATATTACAATATTTTTTTATCTCTATAAAAGAACAAGTATTCAGCGAGTTTCACATAAACACAAACTGATTGTATTTCTGGTCTCTGCCGTTAGGCACACGCCCTATTGCCCTAGTTTACTAGTAGTTGATGATTAATTGTGAGCCCAGACAGCACGGCGAAGTCGAGAGGAAGAAGCCAAGGAGGGAGGGAGGGAGAGAGAGAGAGAGAGAGAGAGAGAGAGAGAGAGAGAGGAATTAGATAAGACGATCGATTGCCATGGTTGGTACGTTGATGGTGGTGTTCTCTTCTTCGTCTGCTCGTCGTCTTCATCGCTCGTCCTCCCTGGCCAACAGCGACATGCGAGCTAAATCAGAGAAAGGCTTTCTTTCTCCCACCTGAATCGATGGATGCTTCGTCACTTCGCGCCCAAGTACGGCTCCATTCCCGTCTTACGTTGCAGTACTCATCTCCAACCACCCATGTCGCAATTAATTACCACGCACCGTGATTGGTTCGGGTGTGTTTAGTTCACGTCAAAATTGAAATTTTAGTTGAAATTGGAACGATGTGACGAAAAAGTTGGAAGTTTGTGTGTGTAGGAAAGTTTTGATGTGATGGAAAAGTTGGAAGTTCGAAGAAAAAGTTGGAAACTAAACTTTAGCCTAATTGATTTCAGATAGGGTACAGAATTCAGACTTTTCGTATGGTTTTTTTTGTACCCTTTTGGTTTGCTTTTGAAAAATGGTATCATCGGTTGGTTTGTGGTACAGTATAGTGGTTTTGGTTTTCTTCGCTGAAAAGTGAAATATTGTTGCAATGATCTGCTTATGAGAAAGGCATTAGTACTCCCTTCTGTCACAAATGCTTGTGAGTTCTGATCGTCGAGAGAATTTTGACTTTTTAATAAGCAACATAAAAGCAAAAGACATTTCCAAATATAGGGAAAGTTTATTTGTCCCTCGAGGGAATATCCTCTCGTTTTTTTTCATTCTAGACCTCTTTTTAGATAGCATTTATAATTCAGATTTTATATATATATATAATTTTGGTACCTTATGGTTTGCTTTTGAAAATGGCATCGGTTGGTATATGATACAGTACAGTGGTTTTGGTTTTCTTTGCTGAAAGAAAGTGGAATACTGTCGGAAACGACCCTGCTTATGACAATGATATTCATACACTGTTTTGTTGTGAATACTTGTCAATTTAATTTGACGGTCAAGATTGGTAAAATTATAACCGTCATCTTTTTAGAGATGTAAAAGCAAAAGGAAGTTCCAAATGTAGGATGTTAGTAAGGTACTTCAAATGACAAAAAAACTAATGATTCAACTTTTAAAACTGAAACCATATGCTAAGAAGTGCTAATTATAACTATACTACCAACTCTTGTCTGCCAAAGGAATAGGTCGTGTTAGATCGAAGCCATGCAAGCATAATTCCAATTCCAAATCCAGAAAAGATAGACGAGATATATATCTCGATGCTAGCTACAGCGACATTAATAATTAATCAAGCAAGCTAGTGGCGTCATGAATGATACTCACTCCGTCCCATAATATAAAGGATTTTGAGTTTTTTCTTGCACTGTTTGACCACTCGTCTTATTTTAAAAATTTTAGAATTATTATTTATTTTTTTATGACTTACTTTATTATCCAAAGTACTTTAAGCACAATTTTTTGTTTTTTATATTTGCACAATTTTTTTAATAAGATGAGTGGTAAAAAACGAAAAAAATCTCAAAATCCCTTATATTATAGGACGGAGAGAGTAATATCTAATTCCTAGTTGATTAGTCCTAAATAGGATGCATGAGATGAATGATTTGCCGTTGTTATCTTACTGTCATGGAGACAGGCCGTCAGTTTCGGCGTGTCCTTGTACAATCATGGTGGTGATTTGAGTGCTGGGTTTCAGAGCAGATGTGTGTAGTGCAATGCAAGGCAAAATGCGACACTGCCTGCTAATTGATGCGTGCACACGTGCGATTCGTATTATTGTCCTTCTACCCTCAAGAAAATTTGTACGTATATGTGCACACGTGTTTGAGCTTTCAGTATTTTTTTAATATAAAAGGAAGTTCAGAAAAATCAATCAAAATTTTGCAATACAACCAAAATTCCAAATTTAGGAAATGTACTTCTTTTTTTTATATATAAAAGGGCCTCATTCCGTTGATAAAGAAGAGAAGAAATGTACTTTAAGCATCGGTGAATTTGAATTGAAGCTTGGAATTGGAAATGCCATGTTGCCCAACCACATGTCTAATTCAGTATTTCAGTTATCACTATCTAACTACGATGATTAGAATGTATAATATTTAAGTACAATAACAATAAGATGTCGAATAAATGCTGAGATTTCGATGATTGGATTGGTATAACCGACTGCGGTTTGTCTTACTGGCGCCTAAATTAATTGATTAAAATTTTAAATGCAACAATGGATGCATTAGTTCGTCAGCTGGAAAATTTTTTTTGGAGATTAATTAGGACGTAGCTGTTGCCTGCCACCAATCATGGCGACAACACAGCCGCTACGAAAGGAACGGAGATTACATACTCGAAAGAGATTCTTTATCGTCAGAAAAAACTGATGACCACAGCAGCAGTGACAGGCCAGCACGAAGCAGGAGTAGTAGTATATGAATTATAATTTAAGAAATACACATTATATTTGTATATGGTTTTTATTATTATACATGCGCATTTCGGATCATATGCGTATCAATGACAAACATGATGAGGCAATATGAAATGCTGGACTGCCTGCCCTGGATAGAGTCATGCAGATACTTGTCGGCAGCATTACGCGTTGCTTCCTGCAGTTGCATCATTTTTATTTTCTTTTGAGTACTTTTAAGGTGTTCTATTATTCTACTGCCAGTATTATCATCCATAAAAAAAATTTTATCAATTGATTTATAAGTTCTACAACTAGTAGTAAAAAATATTTCTTATACTACCAACAGTTAAGTTAGTAGTATAAATAGAAATGATACATTGGACTAGAAAAGGTGATTATAAAATATCTACCACCTCTGTTTAAAACATAGCAACTTTTAGCTATAAATTTCAATAAAGATATGTTTATATTCGTAGCTTAAGGTTATTATATTTTAGACCAGAGGTAGTATTTTATTTTATTTTCTTTTTTGCATCATACAATTTTGCTAGTTTTTTTTATTCTACATCACCCTTCCTTTTTTATTATAGTTTTTTTGAGATGGACAGATACGGTAAAGAGTACTTTGGATGATTGTTAAACTGTTTTGGAGCCACAGATGCTGTGTTTGTTTGGGCTAAAAAGTTCAAGAACTTTGTTGGGCTAGATTTAGTATTCCTCCGTTTTGTCTGGTCCGGCCTGCCATTCTACAGTACTTTAGCTGGCTGGGCCAACATAGCTTGATCTGATTTGCCTCAGATTAATTCTGCATCATCCACACAATTGCAGTTTGGATACACACAATAATTACATTTAATTGTAGGATCCGATATTGGATTTAAGTTTATAAACTGTTCCCACACTTAACTGCCAGCAAGAAACCATAATAATTTCAACAATTAATACCCTATGTAGATAATAGATACTCCCTACATTACATAATACAAGGCCCAACTATTTTTTTTCAGATTTTTCATATATAATATAAGGCATTTATGCATACATGCAATTAATTAGCACCTCTTCTCCACTAGTCCACCTTCGAGATCCCGAATTCTATTAGCTGCATGTGTTATATTTACTAGTTGGCATTTCGCGCCTTGTCGCTGATTCTGTAGTTATATTGTTAAACAAAATCGAAGTTTAAATGGTTAAGGGCAACTCTATGTATGTACAAAATGTGGCTTTATATATACCTTATGTTACAATACAATTCATGCTTTATGTCCCCACGAAAAAAATCATGCTTTATTTTTTAAACCGTCATTGTATATTGTTATAATATATTTTCATGCGCAATATGGATCGTTGTAGCTAGATAGTTTGCATCTCTCTACTATACCTAAGTTTGCTCTAAAAATGGGTTAAGTAACGCTACATAATACTTACATGCTATCTAATCATACGTAATGAAACAAAACTAACATCTTAAACAATAATTTAAGTTGTATTTGGAAAAAAGTTAGCATTATTTTTTAGGACTTGGAAGAGAGAAAACATTGTGTTGTGAGCAAAATAGGAAGGTGAATATACGACTAATAATAAATGATGAATTAGATGGATAAGTAGCTTCCCCGTGATGACTATAAAAAATCCTCGAGTGTTGCAACAAGTGAAACTATTTTAATCTTGTTATTGTTATATGGTTTAGTTAATGTGAAATTCAATGTGAGAATTAGCTTGGATATGTATTTTCTAGAAAATAATGAGCTCCAAGTAGGAGTCCGATCATCTTAAATTAGCATGCGAGTTTTCTTAAAGGGATTTCTTATACGATTCTTTTTATGTTTCCAAAAAGAACAAACTTAAAACCTGACACAAATGCGGATCTGTATTTTTAAAAGCGAACGAACTTAAAAACGACTCGTACACGGATGACGTACCAAAAGTACCGACAAAAACATCTTCAATTTTTTTTAATGATATGGCTTCTTGTATATCTTACTTTATAGGAGTAAATGCTCTTTAATAGGTACCAATTATATAAGAAGATAGGATTAGGGTGATCCTAACTAGGAGGCAATAATAATTATTATTATTATTTTGGATTAAAGGTGTCTGTGTATTTTGGAACCTGCTAGAATTACTGGATAATATATATATAAAACCCAGGCTGTTGCATCAGACAAATTCTACCTCTGCATTACAGCAAATCAAACTCTGCTGCATTAACCTCCTCCTTTTCCTTTTCCTTTTCCTTTTCCTTTTTTGCGTCTTCCTTCCAATCTCGACCGTCCGTTTCTCGATCGCACGGTCGATCCGTGGCCAAAATCCCTAGGCGTAACGCTCGTGCATCTGCAGCTGTCTCCGTTCCACCGTGCACGTCGCGCTCTCTCGCTCCCGACGCGACAACATGCTCGCCTCCGCCGCCGAGTTCACGGACAACCCGGCGGCGACAGCCACGGTGGCGGCGCGACACGGCGTCGACGGCGGCGGCAGCAGGGTGGTCGTGCCGCTGTTCCTGGTCACCGTGTCCCTGTTCTTCGTCACGTACCAGCTCTTCGGCGTGGCCGCGGCGGCCGGCGCCATGGTGCTCGACGTCTGCGCCGTCGCCCTCGCCGCGCTCAATGTCACGGTCACCCGCGCGCGCCGCTTCCCCTTCCTGCGCCTGTCGCTCGGCGGGGAGGAAGGCCATGGTGGTGGTGGTGGCGCCGGCGGTGGTGACGTGGCGCCGGCGGCGGCCGGGATGGACGCGGCGGCGATCATGGCGCTCCCGGCGGCCTTCGGGTACAAGCGGGAGCAGACGGCGGCGGCGGCGGGGGGATGGGCGCAGTGCTCGATATGCCTCGGCCTGGCGCGCGTCGGCGAGGCCGTGCGGCGGCTGCCGTCGTGCGGGCACCTGTTCCACGCCGGCTGCGTCGACGAGTGGCTGCGCGCGCACGCGACGTGCCCGCTGTGCCGCGCCGCCGTGTGCGCCGCCGGGCCGGAGCCGGAGCTGCCCGTGTGACCGTCAGCCGCGGTGATTGTTCTCATTGTTAGGTCGATCATGCTGTAGAGAAAGTATAACAGTAGAGCTTTTTTCTTCCATTTTATTAGTGTTGGTGAATGGTGATGATTTTATCTCAAATCGAGGTAGCCTTCCTGTTCTTCTATCGTCCTCAGTGACATCTGTAAATTCCGTCCAAATTATGTCAGTGCAGTTAAAGTACTCTTAATAGCTACTCCCCGTTTTATATTATAAGTCATTTTAACTTTAGTTAAATTACTTAAACTACTACTACAAGTTTGTTCAAGTTTGTAAATAAATACAGTAATATTTACAACATCAAATTAGTTTCACTAATCTATAATTGAATATATATTTTAATAATATATTTGTCTTGGGGTGAAAATATTACTGTTTTTTTTCTACAAACTCAAAACGATTATAATATGAAGCAGATGGAGTAATAATGCCCTTGCTTAGGAAGGAGTGAAGCATCATGGCCCCTGCATCCAAAAAAGATTAGATTTTACAACATACTCCCTCCTTTGTTCAGATTCATTATCTTAGAATAGATCACATCTCTATCCTAGGTGATTCATTTGGACATAGGGAGTAACTTGCAACCTAAAATACTCCATCTTTCCTACAATATCATAACCTAAAACTGGATGAGACATATCCAAATACAACAAATCTAAATAGGGTTTTGTCCAGATTCATTGTATAAATATACATTCAATTTAAGATTGTTATAGTTTGGGACGAAAGGAGTATTACTTTTGCCACTAAGAAAAAAAATAATTTATCCTGCATGTAACAAAGATCAAACAATGTATGTTTACCAGGCTCATCAGGTTCTGATTAATAATTCAATTTATCTTTCCATTTACTCCCTCTATATTTTTTTGTTTGACGTTGGTTAGCTCAAAATTGAACTAACCAACGTCATATATTTGTGCAAGGAGGTAGTAAGTCTTAAATACGTAAAAATTACAATATATGACTAACATATTTGGAGAAACCAAAATATGAAATAAGTCTAATATTTTTGGAAGGAGGGAGTAGATTCTAGTGTCCACGAATATGGCTTGGTTCTTGCGTCCAAGCCGGCTTTAAGTTTACAGCCCGCTTCTCCTCTCTCTCCTCTCTTCTCTCCTACACTTCAGCATTTAGTCAGCTTATAGCCTACTATTATACTTGCTCTAAGGCTATGTTACCTTCAAACTTCCAACTTTTCTGTCATATCAAATGTTTGGACACATGCATGGAACATTAAATGTGGATGAAAAAACCAATTGCATAGTTTACATGTAAATTGCAAGACGAATCTTTTGAGCCTAATTGTGCCATGATTTGACAATGTAGTGCTACAGTAAATATTTGCTAATGATGGATTAATTAGGCTTAATAGATTTGCCTCGCAGTTTACTGGCGAAATCTGTAATTTGTTTTGTTATTAATCTACGTTTAATACTTCATATAGGTTCGTATATGTTAATTTTTTTTTTGAAAAGTAACTAAACACGGCCTAATACTAACCAGTAGAGACCATGGTATATTTACCTGTTTCCCTAGTCACAGTCAAAACGATTGACGCAGTAACTTACAAGTTGCCCAAGACTTAGAATATGAGTTCATACCTCACTATCAAGACTGCAGGACTTTTAGTTATTCCGGAATCAATATCCACAATTCGATCTCTGACACACACATAGTCGCCTATGAACACTGGAAATGAATATAGAGAGAAACATTTTTGAAAGAAATAGGAGGGATTATGCTGAGAAAGGAACTTAATTATTTTTTAAACCTTTTTTATTTTTTAATTTTAAAAATAAACCCTTCAAAATTTATTTCCACAATCTAAACCTTTTGGTCACGCTAAAACTGTCACGCACGTTGCACCGTTGCGGATGGTGTGTCAGTGATGTTTTACCATGCCAGGCGGGCTGGCGTGGCCAAATGATTCAGATTCTAGAAATAAGTTTTGAAATGGTTCATTTGTAAAATTAAAATTTTAAAAAGTTCAAAAAAAATAAAAAAAATCATGAGAAAGAGCATTTCTAACCTAAGCACTACTCTCCTTCTCTATCAAAAGTACCTCCCCAGGGCTTATCTAGCGAGTCTCGCTTAATCAATTCATAGTTTCGCTCCCAGCGTAGCGTGTGTTCGCTGCAGCCTGTTACCGGCGTTAGCTATCCATTAGCACGTGATTAATTAAGTATTAACTATTTTTTTAAAAAATGGATCAATATGATTTTTAAAGCAACTTTCGTTTAATTTTTTTTTCAAAAAACGCGCCGTTTAACAGTTTGAAAAGTGTACACATAGAAAACGAGGGAGATGGGTTGGGAAACTTGGGGGTAAGAACACAGCCAGTGTGGTTTGCCCCTCCTACAACCAATTTGTATGGTTGACCGATATTGTATGGTTATTCTTTGCTTAATTTTTTATATGGAAATGCTTTACATCCTAGCCTCCGTGTACATAGCCAAAATTTTCTCTTAATTGGTTAGCAAAATTGCTAAAGGACACTCAAAAAATTTGATCATTGCTAAGAATGTGAATTTGTCCAACGACGCTTAAAAACCGGGGCAATTTTCTAGTAGACACCATATATATTATTTTATGATTTCCTGCTATTTCGGAGAGAGAATTTTCACAAAACTATAGCTTTGCCCTTGGGTGATTGGGTCCAAATTGCTTTCGTCGGGGGAGAGGTCAGGCGGTGGGTGACAAGGCGAGGCAGTCACATAGCAAAGGAGACAGTGGGCAAGGGAGAGAGCGCCGACGACAGAGAGGCTGGAAAGCTGGTGGGAAACCAAGCGAAGCCGGTGTCGAGCAGAGGAAGAAGTCCCCCTCGCCTACTCCTCCGACAGCGGCAGCTTGGCGTGACTGCAAATGATCGCGGAAGAGGGCCACGATGGTAGAGGGGATGCCACTCCCCCATGTGTCTGCGGTTCCTAGCAATGAAGCCGATGGGTTGGTGCGGGATCCGACGACGTTGGAAGAAGCTGAGCGAAGGGCGCCGTGACGGTGGAAGTGAGGATGGGTCGCCGGTCGAGATTGATGCAAATCAAGCTGGAATCGAGGTTGATCGACGGCTTGGGAAGGAGCTCGAGGGCGACAACAGTGAGAGCGTCTGGCACGAAGGAAGCAAAGATGGCGAGGACGAGGACCGCCACGACAGCTAGGTGGAGAAGCAGGATGGGAGCCCGATGGCACCGGCTACGTCGGCCATGTCGAAGCAGATCAGGTGGGTGGAGGTGACTAAAACCTCTTGAGAGAAAGAATATGAGGGTAAAATGAATATTTTATATGGTTTCTCTCTCCTCAACTAAGTGAATGTTGTATTTTAATACTCATGTGTTTTGCAGTAAATTATCATACTTTCTGAGTACTCGAACAAATTCACGTTTTTACAATATCCCCTAGAAAAACCACATTCTTTGATTTTTCCTGTAGCAATTATATTATTTTTAAAAGATATTGCAGCAAATTAAAGAGCATATAGATCCTATCCTTGACATAAAAAGGAGAACTTCTTTTGAAAAGATATTGCATAAATGAATCCATAAATTAGTCAATAATGTTGACAGCATGAGTCGGCATAACAAAATTTGTTGGCTCAATTAATGGATCTCGATTAATCTGTCACATATAAAATGTAGGGTCCATTGAATAGCAAAGTAAAGATGATTGCCGTGTCCTTGTTATATGTGTATATTCTCCTATGGTACTATGCTGTCGTTGAAACTTTGATTCAGCTCGCGGTACATAAACGGGGGAAAATACGTAGTGCAAACACATATCCAGTGAAAATCTAGACATCTGAGATTCATTCACGTCACCATGAATAAAAAATTTTACTCGTAAATTTACTCATGAGTAAAAGTTTTAGTGGGAGTAAAATTTTTACTCATATTGACGTGGACAAATCATAGACGTCCTTTTTCGATCCAACTATAGTTTCAAATTTTCATTACGTATGTAGTTTTCACCACATATTTTCTCTAAAAACAGGAATGCACTCCACCCATAAAGTGGACTGGCATATCGTACTTGCGCCTTCACTGTAATTATTGTGGAAAGTTGTTTTCATGAAGGTGATGTGGCAAAACCACAAGTTGTATGAGTATATAGGGTGTGTTTAGTTCACACCAAAATTAGAAGTTTGGTTGAAATTGAAACAATGTGATGGAAAAGTTGAAAGTTTATGTATGTAGGAAAGTTTTGATATGATGAAAAAGTTAAAAGTTTGAAAAAAACTTTGGATCTAAACTCGGACATAGCTGAGGTTTTTCCTAGCAAGTGACAGGGTTGAAATATCCATCTTCTACATATGTGTTCTCATGGTTGTGTGTGTCAGTTTGGGAAAGTCCTTTTCCACTGGAAGGGATTTCCAAGTAATTATGCAATTTTTTAAATAAACAAAATATATTAATATATGATATATTACTACATAAATATATAAATCCAGTTTATGCAAGTTGATGGGAAAAAACAAATATGGCCATCAATAGTACACGTACTTGTTAGATTTTAATTTGTTTTTATAACTTCTATTCATTAAATTTGGTCTTATATGTATGTGAGTGATATAACTTATATTTATCTGTGTTATTATCTTTTTAAGAAAAAATTTAACTATTTTAATGATATGGAAGAAGCGAGGGGCATCTTAGCATCTACTCGAGGGAAAAAAACATGTCCTGTTCGGTCTAGTTTCTGAAGAAAGAATCCACAAGTCTTTGTGCTAAATTCAAAAATGAAATCATGGATTTCGGCTGATCTCTCTGACTCCCTGTCTCATCTGAACTTGCTCTATACGGCAGCGCGACGTGTGGGTAAATTAGCAATTGACAATGGGCAGCATGCCACTGTTAATTAAATCGTCCAAATCAAAGATAAGTGACTGTGAGTACGTGACCGGCTGTGATTCTCTGTTAGTGTTGACGAACTGATAGGTCACGGCAAATAAAGTGCACCGTCTGGACCTTGAAGACCCAGACAGTGTCACGGCAAAATGCCCCATCCTAAGGGGGTGTTTGGGTGTGAGGGAACTTTAGGGCCAGTTTGTTTTGTGACCTAAATTAGTCTTATAAATTTTTGGCAATGCCAAATTTTGGTAAGTTTTGACATGACAAATTTTGAAAAGGCAAAGTTGTGCTTGGATTGAAGCCAAAATAGTCTAAGTTAACTATTGAAATGGCCTATTTTCTTAGGCATGCTAAAATTTAGCTTCAAACCAAATAGACACTAAACACTATTAAAATTATCAAATATTGGTAAGCCAAATTTAGGCCTCAAATCAAACCAGCCCTTAGTCCCAAACACCCCCTAAATATTCGATATACACTCTCCATCCAAAAAAAATAAACACTCCCAAAAAGAATATATTTGGAACGAACTTCTAGTTTTAATCATGAGAACCCTATGCAAAGTAATACTAGTACCTACTCCCTCCGTTTCACAATGTAAGTCATTCTAGCATTTATATTGATGACATCAATATGAATGCTAGAATGACTTACATTGTGAAACAGAGAAAGTAAAAAATAGTAAACAGAACTCCGTGATCTCATTATTCTAGATTCTATCAAAGTAAAATTAAAATCACGCAAACATAAGTACATTAGGTCCCATCGTTTCGCTTTTTGGGGAATAAGCCAAACGGCATATTTATAAATGAAAAATAATTTATAAGTAAAACTTTTATATACGTGTTTTTAGTGATATCAAAGCAAAGGTTGAAAAATAAACTTCGATGAAAAAACCCTAAAATTAAAAATTCAAATTTTGACCGATAAGTATAAGCATAAGCAAAGAAAGGACATAGGATATATTCTATCTATACTACTTTAAAATATAATAGCAGTGATGAGATGAATTTATCATCATCATCCAACTATCATGCAGAACCCACATAAACCGTGAGTCCCTGAGATAAGATTTTCCATATTTTCGATTCCCATAGGCCACACAGATCCCATCATAGAAAAATGATAATATCTTGCAAGATAATAATAGCATTATCTATGGCTAACTGTACCTAAGAAGTTACAGCAAAAATAGCACAATTACGCGAGATATATATATATATATATATATATATATATATATATATATATGAATGAAAGATTACGATATATATATTAGACAACGGAATAGTTTTTAGGGACTTAAAAATGCATATATAATGAGTTATTGTTTTTTTAAAAAATAACTGTCTATTACACCGTACGAATATTTTGCTAGTCCGGACAACTCTACCCTGAATTTTCTGAATATATGGATTTAGCATTTTCAGGTGCCGGTAAGTCTTCTCGCTGAAGATTCCATTGCCAACCTGATGGTACGACCGCACGCGCAAAATCTTAGCCATTTCCTTGCAAATGGGCTTGGATTGGAAACCTCCCAATTTCCAAGCAATTCAGAGCATTCAACCAACAGCTACGCTTAAGGAAAGTAATTTGAAATGTTTTTTCATACTTTTTTATGATAAAAGGAAATGGTTTGCATTCCCGCCCTGGCCTTTGGCTTAAGTAGGCAGACCGTCAATAGATTTTTCTACTTATACATACTTGTCTGGCGAAATTTAAATTTTCAACTTTCAAATTTAGAGTTGATTTTAGATTTTTTTCATCAAAGTTTATTTTCCAGTCTTTGCTTTTAAATAGATAAGAACACGTAACTTTTATTTACAAAATACTTTTCATTTGTAAATATGCCGTTTGGTTTATTCCACTAAATGAAAAGACAAAGTGATGGGATATATCTCTAGGCCGTGCAAAAAGAAACCATCTAAAATGCTATAAAGACCACGTAGATTATACTAAGTAATTTTACATATCTTCACATAATAAGAGAATTTTAGCTATTGACTTCAAAAGTGTAGCATCATTACACATAGCATTATACTACGTCTATGATAACACTATACTTTAAGTGGATATCCCTTCGTAACCTTGTTATAACATCGAATAATCATAATCTTTTTCAATTCGTTTAACGATTATTCGAATGACATTTGAAAAAAAATATATAGATGAATGTTATGTGTTCGCTATAAATACAGCACAAGTGTAATGTATTTTCAGACACAAGTTGTACACTGGGAAGCTAGCAGTGAACCGCGAACCGCGGATACAATGGCTGGCTACGTCACTATTATTTTGTTGCTGTTGCTACCCGCGGCGGTGTCCGGCGCGGCGAGCGGCGGCGGCGGCTGCATTGGCGCCATGGTCGACGACACGAGCCGTGCGGGGAAGGAGGAGAAGCTCGCCATGGAAATGGCCATGGAGGACTTCACGGTGAGCGGCGTGGACGTCGGCTCGCCGGCGGTGGCGGTGGTGCTGTGCACGATGGCGTCCAATGGCGACCCGGTGCGAGCCGCCTCGGCGGCGCTGTCGCTGATCAACGAGAGGGGAGCTCGCGCGCTGGTGGGGCTCCACTCGTGGCAGGAGGCGGCGTTCGTCGCGGAGATCGGGAGGCAGGCGATGGTGCCCGTGCTGTCGTTCGCCGCGGCGGCGGCGCCGTCGACGTCCCGGCGGTGGCCGTTCCTCGTGCGGGTGGCGCGCGGCCAGCACGCGCAGATGCGCGCCGTCGCCGCGGTCGTCGGGTCATGGCAATGGCGGCGCGTGGCCGTGCTCTACGAGGACGCCGACTACGGCGGCGGCGCCGGCGTGTTCCCGCACCTCGCCGACGCGCTCCGCGCTGTGGGCTCCGAGGTCGACCGCCGCGTCCCCGTCCCCGCGTCGCCGTCCGGCGACGCCCTGCGGCGGTCGCTCGGCGACCTCATGGGCGGGCAGTGCCGGGTGTTCGTCGTGCACACCTCGGCGAAGGTCGCCGTGGCGCTGTTCGCGGAGGCGAGCAGGATGGGGATGATGGCGACGGGGTATGTCTGGATCGTCACCGACGCCATCGCCGGCGCCATCGACTCCCTCGACGCCGCCGCCGTGTCCACCATGCAGGGAGTCATCGGCGTGAGGAATCATATCTCCATGGACACCAACTCCAAGAACACCAGAGACCGCCTCATCGCGAGGTTGAGGAAGAGGTTCCGGTCACAGTATCCCGGCGACGACGACGACGGCGGCGGCGGCGGCGGCGGCGACAACGACAAGACGAGAGGGCCGCACTACCCGGCTCTCCTCGCCTACGACACCATAGTCGCCGTCGCGTCGGCCATGCGGAAGACCAACGCCACCGCTCCAACCCGCGCCACCGATCCGAATCCAAGCTCGCCGGACTCCGGCGAGACGATCAAGATCGCCGTGTCGTCGAACGGGACCGAGCTGCTCAGGGAGGTCAAGAGCGTCCGCTTCCGCGGGGTGAGCGGCGAGTTCGGCTTCGTCGACGGCGAGTTCTCGCCGCCGGTGCGGTTCCAGCTGATCAACGTGGCGGCGCCGAGATACCACGAGCTGGGATTCTGGTCGCCGGAGCACGGGTTCTCCAAGAGCGCGGGAGGCTGCAGCCACCGCGGCGGCGACGGCGGCGGCGAGTGCGAGCCATCGATGAGGTTCTTGGGGCCGGTGATCTGGCCGGGGAAGCCATGGGACGTGCCGAGGGGGTGGGCGCCGCCGGCGAACGGTAGCCCCTTCACCGTCGCCGTGCCCGAGAAGGCCGCCTTCCCGGACTTCGTGAAGGTGACGCGCCACCATGGCCGTGGCGGCGACGACGACGACGAACCGAGCTTCGAGGGCTTCTCCATCGACGTGTTCAAGGCCGCCGTCGAACACCTGCCGTACAACTTCCACTACAAGTTCGTCTCCTTCAACGGGACGTACGACTCGCTCATGCAGCATGACTACATGAAGGTGATCTATCCATCTAGCTCTCACTACTTTAAAAAGAAAATTTCCGGGGCCACTTTATTTTTGAAAATTGAGCCATGTGTAAAATTACAGAGAGAATCCCTTATATACCACTCCAAATTAACCGGTTCCCTTATATGCCACTTCAAATTGGTTTCTCCCTTCTATGCCACCGGTTCAAGTTTGTCATCCCTTTTATGCCATTGCCGTCACTCCACCGCCAGTTGACCGTTAACTTCATAGTAAAAAGACGCATTTACCCAAGAGTTAGTATACAACTAATAATAAGTATTTTAGTACAATTGGATACAACATATGAAAATTAATTTTTTTTCATCACATGCAATTTTAGCCATCATCATCACAAATAATTTTTCAATATAAGCATGAAACATGCAGTTTTCCAACAATATTTTTAATACAAAGAGCATTTTCACTGGTTCTAACAAAATTTTGTTCACTCTAAAATGATTTAAAATAAATTAGTTATGTTTTTGTAAGTTTACACATTTTTTTAGTTGAGAGGGCATATTGGTCATTTACGAAAAAAACTAACATTTGACTAACAGTCAACTAACACTATAGTGTTGGAAGTGGCATAAAAGGGTGGAAAAACTTGAACCAGTGGCATATAAGAGAGAAGCCAATTTTGAATGGTATATAAGGGAACTGGCCAATTTCTAGTGGCATATAAGGGATTCTCTCAAAATTCAATCATCGATCCTAAGACAACCTCTTCGTAGGTATTTCCTTAGAAGACCCTCATGTGAAAATAGGAATATTTTTATAGACGGTGGTATTTGGTTATATCAGACGTATACTTAAAAGTCCTCACATTTCACACTTCCCCCTCACTTTTCCTTGGCTCCTCCTCTCTCTTTACTCTTCTCCTTGAATCGACTTATCAAGCTTTTCAAAGGTCCTAAGATCAGTTGAGCTACGACGGATAAGTAGCAGAAAAATAAACAAAATAATTTATGGATAAAACTTTTATATATGTGCGTATTTTAGTGGTTTTAAAAGCCACATATGTAAAATACTACATTGAAAAACCTTTTCAAATTTTAAATTCGGCTGTAGCTAATCAGTAATAACCAGGGTTTTAAATCTCCCGCTAAACTGCCGCTATCTCTCGCTATAGCTGTTTATCTATTTGCTCTTATGTACAATTTTTAGCCGCTATAGCTCCATTTAGTCCGCTATAGCTGCTATTTAAAACATTGGTAATAACCCAATAAAAATAAACCATTAAAAGAAGTGTTTTTTTTATACAGAGCTATGACATCCTTGTCGGCGACACGAGCATCTCATCAGGAAGGTACAAATTCGTGGAGTTCTCGCAGCCGTACACCGAGTCAGGACTGGTGATGGTGGTGCCATTTAGCGCGGACACGTGGGACCGTTCGTGGATCTTCCTCCGGCCATTCTCGCCGGCGATGTGGCTCCTGATCGCCGCCGTCAGGCTGTACAACGGCGTTGCCATCTGGCTCATGGAGCGCAGGCACAACGGCGACTACCGCGGCGGCGTCTGGAAGCAGGTGACCATCGTGCTCTGGCTCTCCCTCGCCGCCCTCCTCTCGCCGGGGGAGAAGGAGAGGCGGCTGAGGAGCAGCCTCTCCAAGGCGTCCATGGCGGTGTGGCTGCTCGTCGCCGTCGTGCTGGCGACCAACTACACGGCGAGCCTGAGCTCGCTGATGACGGCGCAGCGGCTGGGGAGGGAGGCGGCGGTGACGGCGGAGTCGCTCAGGTACGTAGAAAAATCTAATTGTTGTATTTTTGATGTTTTCTGATTTGTTACATCGACCCTCTCAAGGGTATATGTATAGGAGTACATAGAGTATATGTAGGAGTACATAGCGGATAGAGGGAGTACAATACAGGTAAGATTATGAGTAGATTTATCTCTATTACTCCATCTTATCTCTAGAATTTTATCTCTAAGACTCTATTTTATCTTTAGAATTTTACTTTATCTCTATAGTTTATATTTGACTTTTATCTCTGACCGACGTATTTCTACTTCTAACAAGGTCCGCCGCCGGCGCGGTGGTCGGGTGCACCGAGGGCTCCGTCGTCGGCAGGTACCTCGAGGAGGTGCTCATGTTCCCGGGGCACCGCGTCCGGAGGCTCGCCGGCGACGAGGAGCACCGCCGCGCGCTCGTCTCCGGCGAGGTTAAGGCCGCCTTCCTCCGCGTGTCGCACGCCAAGCTCCTCCTCGCCAAGTACTGCAACGAGCTGATGACCACCGGACCCGTCTACCACGTCGCTGGCCTTGGCTTCGTAAGCATCCATCGCCACATCGCTTAATATTGCAAATTAATTAATGAGTAGAGTGTATGGCCGATACTTAAAACATATTCGGCTGTGTCATTTAGGTTACGTTTATATATCTTATGCACGAAGAAATAGATGATATATAAGCGCATGATTATTTAAATATTAATTTAGAAAACTTGATAAATAGATAAATATATTTTTAAAGTAATTTTCCTATCGATTTGTTTTAAAAAATTGTTTGCCATTATTAGTTCGATAAGAGTGCAAAAAAAATGAGCGAGTTAGAAGCTAGGAAGAGGGGTTGCCAAAAGCGAAAAATCAAAATGTAGATTTAGCATCTTAATCTTGTCTTGTGTTCACAGCTGGTTTTGTTTCACCACGTGGAGCCATCGCAAGTTAGGGTTTATTTGGTACAGATTTAGCTTTAGCTCCACCTCTTATAGAACTGGAGTCTAGCCAAACAGTTTTAGTTTCATCTAAATTAGAAGCGAAGAAACGCTCTCACAAAATAAACTATATGCCTGCTCCCACAATTTCACTCCAAACTCAATTACTAGAGCTAAATTAAAAAGTTGAACCTCTACCAAACAAGCATCTAGGGTCACCCGTGAAAAACATTAGAGCGCTAATTCTGTATTTCGAGAGTACACGAAGCCAAGGGACACCAATGAATAATTAATTAGTTAGTTAAGCTTAATTACAGTGGCTTAACTCTGGATCAAGATTCAAGAGTTGATTAACCTACAAATTTATAGGGTGTGTCGTCTCAGGTGTTCCCCAAGGGGTCGCCGCTGCTGGCCGACATTTCGCAGGCAATCCTCGAGGTGTTCGAGAACGGCACCATCCAGAGGCTGGAGACGGCGATGCTGTCGGCGTACAACTGCACGGCGGCGGCGGCGGCGGCCGCCATGGACGGCGGCGCTGGCGACCTGTACCGCCTCGGCCCGGAGAACTACTGGGGCCTCTTCCTCATGACCCTCTTCGCGTCCACCGCCTCGCTCGCCGCCTACGGCGTCTTCTTCCACCACGACACCAGCTGCGGCAGCGGCGGCGGCGGCGGCGGCGCCGTCATCACCGGCGGCCACAGGAAGCAAGGTGATGGCCGTAAGGATTCTGCCACTGTTGACCCAGGAGGAAGCAGCCATGGTGATGAAGCACCTTCATCAGCATCAGTCACAGCTGGGCATGGAGGAAAGGATACAGAGATGGTAGTAATAAGCATGGCATGAGAGCTTTTACTTCTTGCTTGCCTCAACAGAAATAATGATGAACAAATTTGTCTGGGATTATGTCAATCTAGGCACAGGTATATAAACAATGCGTAGCGTTCAGGAGGATCACACCAGAACAAGAAGATGAATGTTTTTTTTTTCTTTTTTGTATTTACACCAATTCTGAAAAGTCATTAAGGCACAATGTATGCAGACAGAAGGTCTGCTTGACAGAATCTATCTTTCTGAAGAAAGAAAAAAAAAGATCATGAGAAAAGGGCAAAGACTGACTGCAAATGTGCATTTTTATCCCACTATATTCACAACATCCAGGCTAGATTTTTTTTCTTATCTGTTCCCCCTCTAATCCTATGTTTTTATGTGACAAAAGGAACTACAAGAACAAACAAACACGACCCAGCTAAAGAATAAAGCACTGCCAAATGCTACCGCCAAGTTAGCCCTGGAGAACTAGCCTTGGCCCGAGCATCAGCCAACGAAAGAGCCATGGCCAGCATCATCTGTTCTTCGAAACTATCAGGAATACTGCCAGCACCAGTGTCGGATCCACCTGAATTGGCAGCTCCAGCCTCTGTTGTAAGATCAGAGCCGGTAAAGCTGCTACTGGCCTCGGCCATCTCTGACCACCGCTCATTAGAATACTCCATACCCTCCCTTGTTTGGTGCATTTTGTTGCTCGATGGTTCCTCAGACCTAGCGCCTGAGGAACCACTCCCGTTTATGCTCAGATCCTCTGTAAAAGATCTGTCTGACCTGCTGAGAATGTCACATCTTGACGTGTGGCAAGTAGCGGTGCTAGAAGCTTCTCCATACATCTGCTGTTGCTCGGCTAAAGCTGCGACTGCACAAGCAAATGCACTACTGGAAGAAGCTGCTTCAGCTGGAATTGTCATGGAACCTTCAAAGCTTCTCGGAGGATGTACTGATGAGACTGTGTTACCACAGGTTGGATTTCCCGAGGCTTCCTGATCCTGTTTAAAGAAACAAAGTTCAGACTGAAACATGTAAGCATGGTGAGTAATCCTGCATTTACTATGAAGTTTACCAAAATTAAATTTTATTTATTTCTTGAAAGAATGCACGCTTTCTACTGAAAGATATATATCGACAAACACAACAAATGTGTGTGCATAATTGTTACAAAAACGAGTGCAGGGATGCATAATTGTTTGTGCAGGTTCACGTATCAAGCACTGAACCAAGTTCAGGTTTAATTCAAGAAGCAAACACTAAATTTGCACAAACTCAAAAGGATATGATAATGAAATATATACAAATGAGATGAAACAGACATATTATACCAATGAAGATGGTAAATGAGTAAAAGATGTGCCCCACTAAAAAGAAATAGGTTATTTCTTTAAAAAATAAGTTAAAGATATTATTTATTTCTACATGTAAGTTCAGCAACATCATTTTTATGTACCTGCAGAGAAAGCCAAAGTGCTTCAACAAGCATAACTTCGTCAGGATCCATGTCAAAATTATTATTCCTGCGCTTTAAGGAATTCATCAGTAATTATTCCCAGCAAATCAGCATTTGTGGCATATACTAGCACCATAAAAGGAACACATTAATTAAGGAAGGAGAAGTGGATAGCAGAATGTCATCAAACAGGTGTACTGTGGAAAAGAAATTTTCAGAACAAATACTCATTTCAATATCAAAATCACCCACAAACAAATTAACGTTCTGAACTTTGCAGAGGCCATAAGCTTTCAGATTATACATGTTTGCCCGTTATACTTCTTACATAATAGAATGATTTCTAGATAAGTCAAAAACAAAAATAACTATCATTTACTACACATGCTGTGGTGCTGCAACAAACATTAGATCAATAAAATTGACCCCCCCCCCCCCCCAAAAAAAAAAAAGAAGAAGAAGCAAAAGTCAGAGCACCAAAACCAAGATTTGAAAGGCCTGTACTTATCTAGTCGACGGATTGACAAAACAATAAAAAAACATCTCAGGAAAAAGTCTTATATTTGTTTTGTCAACTCTGCACGTTATTTAATATTGTCTCCAATTCCAATAACGGACAGAATTCGTCCCTGAACTATCAACACCATACAAATAATGTCCCTGGCTAAGTACATCAGTGGTTTTGTCCTGAATGGCATCCTATTGGGCTGAATACATGGGAAACAAGTCACAAAAATAAGAAAGTAATTGGATATGTTAGATAACAGATTATCCATTTAGGTTTATTATTTTCATCCCCTTCCTCGCCATTTGTTTTCTATTAAAAAGAAAGAGGAAAAAAACTAATATGTGGGTTTGCCTGATGTGGTAAAAGACATGGCAAAAAAGGATGGCGCGGCACTCAAAACCACTTGGAAAACATGCCCAAGAACATATTTAGACGTTTTGATAGTTGACTGATGAGTTCTGGCTAATATTGGAGTTGAGGGACGAAAACTTAAACTATTTGAGGATTGGAGGGACCAGATATAGACATTTCAGATCTTAAACGGTAGTCAGTCATTGAGATACTGTCATGACTTTGATCTAAATTGCACTGATGCAACAATAAGCAGCTACTTTTACAGAATATCAAGCACAACTCAGTAAGCAGTACGAACCGCATCTGCTTTAAGCGTTCAGAAGTCTTCAGCAGTAACTCCGCATGCTGCACTTGAGATGAGAGCATATCACTGCCTTGCCCACTGCTTTTGACTGTCAACATAATAGACAGGGTTAGAGATTGCATGACAAAAGAATAACTGAGAAACAAAGTTAGCACATTCCAGTGCATATACCTGTGGTGGATGCGCCACCAGTATCACAATGTTCTACTTGTGCAGTTGTTACCACATCGGTCAAAGCAGCAGCCTGCTTCTTCTTCATCCGCTCAGCATCGTCCTGGAGCTCCTGCTGCCGCATCCGGATCTGCGCCTCGATCACCCTCTGCTCCTCCTATCCACACCACAAGTTCCAGCTCCAACCATTGGCAAAAATACAAAACATAGAAGACAACACTGAACGAAATCATGTCTTGCGGACACTCACAATCTGCTCAGTGCCCTTTTCCTCCTTCGTCTTGACACCGCGGTACTCAACCGCGTAACTCGCCATTTTGCAGTAAGGGCACCTTACAAGTCAAGGAATAACCAAACAAGATGACACATAATACATGGCACGCACGCAGGATTCCTAACATCAGCAATGAATAATAGCACTGAAGAACATCTAAGCTAAACAAAACAAAAAAATCTACAAGAATTGGGCTAAGGATACTGCGTCGGCCGGCACGAGGTGGGCGTCCTCATCTGGAGAAAACACTCTGCAGGCAGCAGAAGCACAAACCACAAGTCAGGCACCTAAATTACCAACCCAATCCACCGCAGCCGACGAAGAAGAAGACGACATGAGCAGCAAGTAACACGAACTCACCCGTGCAGATTCCCTTGGCGCAGCACTTGGACCGGTTGAGGCTGGGGTAGAACTGCAGGAGTCAATCACAAGCGAGAGAGAAACAACAACAAACGAATCAAACCATGGCGCCCCATCGATCCGCGACAGAAGAAGAAGAGGAGGAGGAGACGGAGGCGAACCAGGAAGCAGATGGGACACTCCTCGAGGTCGGCGCGGGGGTCGTCGGAGCCGGGGAAGCAGGGGGCGAGCTTGGCCTCGACGATGAGGCGGCGCAGCTTCTTGAGGTCGATGTCCGGGTGCGGGTACAGCCCCTGCGGCCTCGTGTACCTCTCCTCCACCGCCGGCCTCCGCCTCCTCCTCCCTCCCACCTGATTCCCCATCCCCCACCACCACCCAACCACCGCAACCGCCTCAACGCCGCCGCCGCCGATGAGGACGACGAGCAGATTCCCCCCACGCGGCCGCTCTCCTCTCCTCTTCTCCTCTCTCTCTCTCTCTCTCTCTCTCTCTCTCGCTCTCGCTCGCTCTCTCCGGCGAGAAACTAATCCGGTTTGATTACGGCATAAAACCAATCCGTCTTGCTTCCGCGCGGCGTCGTCGCTGTCGGTTTATCGCGTCAAACTTCGCTAACCCCTCGTATACGGGTCGCTGACAGGTGGGGCCCACGGTAAGGAGGCGCTGACTCGGTTGGGGCAAGCTTGCAAGCGAGTGTATTTTAAACTTCTTTCTCCCAGTTTATTGAAAAAAATAACAATTTTTATAGCATAAAATTAGTTTCGTTAAATTTAATATTAAATATATTTTAATAATCTGTCTGTTTTTATATTAAAAATGTTAATATATTTTTTCTATAAGTTTAGTCTAACTTAAAAAAAGTTGGCTAGGGAAAAAAATCAAACGACTTATAATATAAAACGGGGTGGTTGATACTCGATAGAATTAAGAAATAGAGTTTGGAGAAGCAATCGGGATGGACGCTAATTGGGGGATTTGGTCGATGATGACAGTTGTTGGGGTTGGTTCGGGTTAAGTGGTTAGTTGTTCGCTCGTTTGTGGCTAAAATCTCAACTGATCTGCCAAGATGCTCTTGTGTCTGGGTTACTTGTTGGTTTGTAACCTTTCTGGTTGATGATAACAAGAAAAGGGATGGGGATGGGATGCGTGTGGTCTAAGGTTGGCCATCTTTTTTATCTTTGGTTTTGTACACGTGATTGGTCAAGGCAAAGAGGAGTTTTTGCAAGTGAGTTTTGTTTGTGTGTTCAAGCATGATATTGGTGAATTTTGGACGGTTTGTTTGGAACATTAGAGTTCCAAGGCGATTTTGTGGTGGTTCTTTCTAAAAGAAAAAAGCGGCTTAAAGTTGTGAGCGAATCAACGACAAACGGTTTGAGGTGGACCTGAGCTGAGAGAACTGACGGGATTATGGATACAAGTCTTAATATAAGTATCTACTAGCAATATGGATGAAGAAGTCGTCTGCCCTTTTCTTTCGTTTTCTTCCGTGTAAGATGATGTTGGAACTTGGAACTATGGAAATGGTCATACGTACGTGGGACACTGATAAGTGCTAGTTCAACATTAAAATACATTTTGTATTATAAGTTACTAGTAATATGTCCGTACTAAACGTTACGGTGCAATTCTATCTGTTTTTAATAATTTTTAAATTTTCATGTTAGCAAAAAAATATTTTTATATGATCTATGCATTTGAACTTTAATTCAATTCATATCGTACATAAAATATATTTCATGTAAAGTGTAGTCCTATCATAGGAACGTTACAAGATGAGACCCACATGTAAGTGATAGGAGAAATACTAAAAAAACGTAGGGCCCACTTGTCAGCCCTATTCTCCCTCTCTGTCTTTTTCCCAAAAAAAAACAGGAGAGCAAGCGGAGGCGGTGGCCCAAAAAAACAGGAGAGCAAGCGGAGGCGGTGGCGATGGCAGTGGTGCGAGCTGTATGCGGTGGATGGCGATGGCAGTGGTGTGGGCTGTCTGCGGTGCATTATCCATTTAAGTTGTATGGATGAACCATATAGAAAAAAAATAATCCAGAACAATTTTGTAAGCATATGGATCCCTTAATATAATACAAACCATTAGTACAATCTCAAATGATAGCCATGAATAATTGCATAAGTGTGATTTAACTTGAATAGAAACATGTATCTTTAACGGCACAGTACCTATCGTCGGAGGCTGGAATGAAATGAAAAATTGACCGACGCTTAGATCTTACTGGAAATCAGTAAGATATCGTCCAAACGTAGACAACAAATCTATCCCATCCAGTTACTGGAACCAAAACACATTTTTATTCAATGGTCGCTACCATTTCCCATGTATAGAGTCTAAATCAATGATCTTAAGAATATATATTGGTCCCGAATACATATATGCACGAATGATCCAAATATATTTACCCTTTCAAGGGACAATAACAATGTGCATTTCAGTGCTCTAAACTTCAGACAACCCAATTTTTATTAAAAACAAATGTGCCATTTATCTATTTCCAGTTCAGCACAGAAATATAAAGGCTTTTCCCTTCAATTTGACTATAGAGCAATTATATTGCACACAGTACTATGTGATCATAGAAGCATAGGCATATAGACTTGAATATAGCAATACATAGTACTAATTTATGAATATACATAGTTAGATATGGCAGGGACTAATCAGCGATTGTCCGATACACATGTAGACAAATCACCCTTAGAATAGTGAACATATAGTCCTTTTGGAAGAAACACAGGGTGTGAGAATGTTTTTTCTTATTCCAGCCACATCAATTCCCCACCATACTGAAATCAGCAGTATGGTACATATTCAAGAGTTTGAAAGTGCTTATCAGAGGAAAATACAACTGTTCACAGTTGGCTTTGGATGTAGATATACAGAAAATGTCATCCATGATTCCCAATTTCCAGCACAAATTACATTGAATATATATTGAGCATAAATCATGCTTTTACATAAGATCGACATCAGGGATACTTATCGGGAGAGAGGAGACATATTAGGGATGGGGTAGGGGTGGCGAAGGGTGCCCTGAACCTTTCGGCGGAGGAGGAACGGTGGCGTGAGTACGGATAGGCAGCGGTGGATCTTGAGGCGGCAGCAGCATCGCGTTGTCGTTGTCGGTTGTGGATGGCGGCCTCCTCGGCCTCCACTGCCTATGCACGGGATTCTCAAATATTAAAGATTGGGAGCTTTTAGAGTCATAGATTCAGGATAGCAGATCTTATGACAAACAATATGGGTAAGAGTTGATGTCAGGAGGCCATACCACCAATATATTGCCCAAAATTGGATATTTTGCAAATATACGGTTTCCAGCTAGCAAATAGTGCATGTGGCATTAATCACAACCTATGCATGTGCTGATAATTTCCCTTTTCTTGAGAGGGAGAGAGATTCTGTTACATGCAGTACAATGTACACATTTGGTGATTTGATAATATAAATCTGTTATTTGTTATATAAATTTCAGTATATACCCCTATGGGAAATAAAGCAGCATATAAAAAATCAGTATATGCATTTACAGGAAACATTTAGCATATTCACCGGAATTTCCAATTTATTATATCCAATCTGTAGTTTGTCCAATACCATTATTATACTTTTCTAATACTGCTGAAATGTACAGTATTAGATGCACAGGACAAAGTGGCATAAAAGAATACGCGAGTTGAATGGAAATTATCAGAGCACCTAACACATAGCAGCAGGGGATTTGAAGAAGCACAGAAATACACCTTTCAAAAAGGATTAGATTATTACTCAAATATATATATATATATATATCCAGGAGACAAATTCTGCTCAAATTAACTTTAAAACTTGAAGTGCATCCTAGTTCTTACAACTCTTGGGTAGTTCACTGACAAATGGTGTATAGGAACTCAGTTATGGCTTGTATAGATACGCATAAAAAATCTCATATAATGTTAGAAACATATTTACATCTGCTAAGTCAGATTCTCCTGGAACTGCTGTTGCATTAGCAAATATTATTTAGATCAGCAGAACTGTAGATCCAAATGTGAGTAACTCAAAAGAAGTCTAGCTCAGTCATCGTCAAAATAAAATGCATTGCGGTAGTACTTATTACATGTTGAATAAGGTCATGCAAAGGTCCATGAAGTAGCAAAGCATCAAAACGCTGTGAAATAAACAAAACTTAAAAGTCCTAAAATCTGAAATTCTGAAAAGTTGAACAAAATGGCCGTCAAAATTACAAGAACTGAAAATCTTACATTGTTTTGTAAAAAAAAAAAGCATGGTAGTTTAGAAAGTCTCTTGATCTTGACCAGAACACAATGTCTCAATGACCTATCAGTTGCAAAGTTGTCTGAAGTTAGTTTTCTAGAAATAATTGACTTAAAAACTAAAGTTCATTTTGGGGATTTTTATGGTCTGTCAAATTTTTCTCCCGACCCAGCAATAAAAAAATTATGTGTTCAAAATACAAGAATATTGTGTCAGTGCTTGCATCTGCAGGGACAAAAGAAATAGCTCCTTCAATCTATGCACCATATCAATAAAATTGCATAATGCCAGGCTTCTACCAGCAACTGAAAGAGATTTCACAACATTTTCAAGTCCCATCGAGTAGAGTAGCAAACTTGATATATTTACTACTGCATGGGACCTAGTGCAGTGTTTGACGAACTGAATGGAAGATTGTTCATGCCACCTCCAGGGAATGGAAATTTGACAAATTAAACGCTACAGTCGAACATGCAAATTACTCATGGCATGGGTACCTTATTGATCTGAAGATTAATTGACGCGGAATATCGTCGGAGGAGATCGGTGAGGCGGAGCGACGTTGTTCTTGCGGCGGAGATCGGCGGCGGCGCGCGGCGGTGTTGTCGGAGATCGATGAGGCGAGGCGATAGCGTTCTTGCGGCGTGAGTAGAAGCGGCGTGAGGGGGCGCCGGTGGCGTCGATCTGAAGATGGGAATCGACGTCGGATCGACGCCGCCGGCGGCGCCGGCGGCGGGTGTGCGAGAGAGAGGAGGGGAGAGCGGCGGCGGCGGGTGTGCGAGAGAGAGGAGGGGAGAGGGGAGCGTGCGGGGCGCAGAGGGTGGTGGCGGCGATGATTGTGCGAGAGAGAGAGAGAGAGAGAGAGAGGGGAGGCGATCGGGGCGAGACGCGCGGCCCATCGAGGTGTGGGTGCGGAGCGCGTGCGGGGGAAGAGGAGAGGGTCCGCGACGATCTTGAGCGTCGGATTGGACGATTTTCTACGAATCAAGTATAAAGTACTACCTCCTCCGTCCCAAAATATTTAACGCCGTTGACTTTTTTAAAAATGTTTGACCGTTCGTCTTATTTAAAAATTTAAGTAATTATTATTTCTTTTTCTATCATTTGATTTATTGTTAAATATACTTTTATGTATACATATAGTTTTACACATATCACAAAAGTTTTTAATAAGACGAACGGTCAAACATGTTTAAAAAAGTCAATGGTGTCAAACATTTAGAAAAGGAGGGAGTATGTAATAAGAGATAGTTGGTGAATTATAGTGTAGATATAATTTTTTCTGAGTTTGTTTGACCGAGTTTATAGAATTTTGATTAATAAAAAAATTCAAACGGCTTATAATATTAAAACGAGGGAGTACTAGATAAGTGCTTTCTTCATTTTTTTTTATTTTTTTCTGGAACACAACAAACAATATAAATATGATTTTTGTTGGTTATTTTTAATTCCTGGTGGTAGAACTTGCCCACCCAAATTTAAGTCATTGACTTAATATATGTGTGCACATTTATATTATTCTTCTAATGATAGACGGCGACCCGTCAACACCGAGGAGCACGTGGTAACTTCGTGAGTCTCAATATATACCGGTCTATGCTCATAGAAATAAAGTGTGTGTTTATAAGAGCATCTATAGGTGTTTTTCATGAGTCTCATGATATACTAGTCTAATGCTCATAGAGGTAAAGTGCAAGCGTACGTTCGTAAGGGTGTGAGTGTGTGTTTATACGAGCATGTATAGATGATTTCGTCAATTTTAAGATATGATGAGTGTGTGCATGCTTACATGAGTGCGTGTAAGTGTCATTTTTTAATAAAGCATGTCAGTCCTGTACTCGGAGGGATCGTAGAGGTATGTATTTATAGAGGTAAGAGCACATGTTTTTATTTAAACGGATGCATTTGTATTGTATTTCAAACCACGTCGCTACATAGCTTGTAAAAGTATCGCTGATTTGCCACTTGCCACGGCTTCAATATATTTATGGGATCCGGTAAAATCATCTCTATTTATCTATGTCATATTAAGTTCAAGTTTATCATGTTTTTTTAAAAGAATAAAGTACAAATCAAGGATACGTTTATGTCAGCCTTATAGTTTGTCCAATGAATCAAATATAATTCAACTATTATCATAATTTAATTTTTAAAACTTACTAGTTTTGGATATAAGTTTAGAGTATTTTTAACGTAATTTTATTTTTAATATTTATTTTAAATCACTAAATATACATATATAATCTTTCTTATCACTAACAGTAAGTTGTTTGACATGCAATCAAGTCAACATAGGACTGACATGTTCATTTCGGCCGGACCAGGCCTTAGCGGACCGTGATTAGAAAAGCCCATCAAGCTGACAAGAGCAGTCAAAGCGTCTAGATAGTTTGGGCCTCTTGGGCCTTGTACTGTACATAGTCCATCAGTCCATCTCCCCGTGAATTTTTTTTATTTTTAATTTTTTTTATTAAAAGTTTTACAAAAATAATTTTTCATTTTGAAAATTGACAGAAGTGGTCGCCTACCGCCCTCTGGGAGGGCGATTTTTAAAAATCACCATCCCAGAGGGCGGCGAAAGTGACGTGGCAGACGGCCGTTCGCTCTCGGGCAACGGCCGTCAACGAAATTTGCAGGCGGCCCCCTTGCCGCCCTCCGCTAGGGCGATTTTGTACTGTGCGGGGGGCCGCCTGCAAATGGGCGGCGGGGGGCCTGGAATTTTGCAGGCGGCCCCCTTGCCGCCCTGGGGGAGGGCGATTTTTGCCTCCCCCTATAAAGCCCAGCCCTCTCTCTGAAATTTCATTATATTCAGTAAAAATCCAAAAAAAACGAAAGAGAGAGAGGGGAGGGCAGCAGAAGGGGAGCGGCGAAGCCCTGCTGGTTCACTCACTTCATCACAGGTTTGCTCCCATACATCTTTTGCATTTGTACTAATATGTTATGTTTGAGTATATATGTTGCGTTTTAGTTTTAGTTCCATATATTTTAGCAGATCTGTAGCACACAGCACATATGTGTAGATCCAGAGCATAGAATATAATAGTATGAATTGAGACATAGACAATAGTGTTAATTGTAAGATGTAGTTTAGTTTGATCTAGAGAATGTAACCTACTTTTAGAATTTTGGAGAACAATATTGTAGAGAATGTAACTTAGGGCGTAGTACAGAAATGCGAGGTTAACGCAGTTATTGTTTTCATCAGGCACAATGTCAAATAAGGTCACATTTCAGATAGTTCACGGTGAAGGAAATATTAGATTTGGTCCAGATGGTGTTGATCTGTCAGATTTTGTAATGACATCTAAGGGCATCGATAGGCCTGCGGAGAGAACATTTCAGTCAATTTATAGTTGGTTGTTGAGAGGATTTAGAATAGACCAAGAAGTCTACACAATGTCAGTATCAGTTGTAGTGAGTCGTGCAACAGAAGGTTATTTTTGGGAACTAATGCCGATGGACAGCACTGCTGCTTGGAGACGGTATGTGGAAATGGCTTTTGAACGGTCATGGCCCCTCGTTATATTTGTGTCGGTACAAGAGAAAGATATAAATGTTTCAATGCAAACCGAAGATGTAGAGGGTCCTATCAATGCAGGGGATGTTATTGGACCATCGATGCAAAATGAGGAAAATCAACCAAGGGAGGAGCAGGCCATGGGCATGGCGGATGAGGGGGAGAGAGTCGGTATAATTGTTGATGAAATGGAGAGGGAAGATTCGGATAATGAGGAAGCGGACGACGACGCATCATCCGATGAGGAAGGTGATGTAATGGCCACTGATTGGGCAAATGAGGACTTCTCTGGACTTGTTATATCAGAGGGTGATCATGTACCCTGGAAGTATAAGGAGAACGAGGTAATTGAGGGTGCAAGGTATGCTCATAAGGATGAGATGAAGGAGGCGGTGAAGCATTGGGCAGTTTCCTTGCAGAGAGAGTTTAGGGTGGTCAAGTCAACAAATTATGTGTATGAAGTGAGGTGCATGAAGGAAGATTGTCCGTGGCGTGTCCATGCATATAAGGGTAAATGGAATGATTATTGGAAAGTTAGCATTGTGACCGAGCACAAGTGCTACTTACAAGGGGTGGAGAAGTATCACCGAAACATCACTTCAGCTTTTGTGGCAAGTGAGATGTACAGCAGTGTTGTTGGTAACATTGGCTTTGAACCAAAATCAATTATTAGGCACATCGAGAACAAATTCAAGTACACCATAAGCTATGCAAAGGCCTGGAGAGCCAAACAAAAGATTATTGAGATGAGGTATGGCACATTTGAAGCTTCTTATGATAATTTGCCTCGTTTGTTAGCCACCATTGCCCAGAGGAATAATAATACTTACTATGACCTACATACATTTACATCGGTTGATGATCGAACAAAGAGTGTGCTGCAAAGAGCCTTTTTCTCATTGGGTGCTTGCATCAATGCTTTTGTGCATTGTCGACCTGTTCTATGCATAGATGGAACTTTTATGACAGGTAAATACCGAGGTCAGATATTGACAGCAATTGGGTGTGATGGGAACAACCAGGTTCTACCTATGGCTTTTGCATTTGTAGAGAGTGAGAACACTGAAAGCTGGTACTGGTTCCTAGAGAGAGTGCACATTGCAGTGGTGCGTATGAGGCCCAACGTTTGCCTTATACATGATCGTCATGCGGGTATGTTGCAGGCTATTGACTACTTGCAGAACGGTTGGGATGAGAAGGGACTTCCAGCTAAGTGGCCTGATGTTCGGAGTCGGTGGTGCATGCGTCACATGGGTGCAAATTTCTACAAGCAATTCAAGAACAAGCATCTTATGGAGCTCTTTAAGAGGCTCTGTGCACAGAACCAAGAGAAGAAATTTAATGAGTTGTGGGACAAGTTGGATGAGTTGACAACGAAGCAAACAGATGAGCAATCTCGCAGACCACAAGTTGAAGGTGACGAGCCTCCCATACCTCTTGGTGCATTACATGATGACCCACCAACAATGAGAAGGAGGTCAGGGTCGTCCATCAGAAATTTCACTCAGTGGATTGAGAATGAGCCTAAGGAGAAGTGGTCTCTATTGTTCGACACCGATGGATCTCGGTATGGCATAATGACAACCAATTTGGCAGAGGTGTACAACTGGGTAATGCGAGGAGTTCGGGTACTTCCATTGGTTGCTATTGTTGAATTCATCCTTCACGGCACGCAAGCCTACTTTAGGGATCGATACAAGAAAATTGGTCCGTCCATGGCCGATAACAACATAGTGTTTGACAACGTAGTGACAAAGTACATGGAAGATAAAATCAAAAAGGCACGGAGACATAGAGTTGTTGCTCAAGGCACACAAGTGCATCGGTATGAAATAATGTGTGTTGATAGGAGCAGGCGTGGTATCTATCGCAAGCAAGCCGTGCAAGAATGTGTCTTGAAGGCGGATGGTGGATGTACCTGCAGTTGTACGAAGCTGAAGCTTCATCACCTTCCTTGCTCACACGTTCTTGCTGCTGCCGGTGATTGTGGCATATCTCCCAATGTGTACGTCTCAAATTATTTTAGGAAAGAAGCAATCTTTCATACATGGAGTGAGGAGATATATGGGTTCGGGATCTCAGGATCTTACACAACGCTGAGTGCCCAAGTTTTTTATATTCCAGATCCATCTAAGTTAAGGGTGAAAAAGGGTCGACGCCAAACTAGACGCATCAGAAATGATATGGATGAGTCAGAAGCAGGTGGGAGGACTTTACGCTGCAGCAAGTGTGATCTGCGCGGCCATACTTACAAGAAATGCCCGAAGAATGCAGAAGTTCCAAGCGGCGCAGATGCTAGTCCATCTGGACAGGCAAGTGATGGTAGGCGACCACCTGGTGAAGGAACAACAAGCAGGCGCGCAAGGCCAAGGCGTCGTCGCGCAGCAGGCGATTCCATGGTGTAACAATGCTATCGATTTAGG